TTTTAGTTATGAGTATGTAGTTGATATTTATACACTTCTGAAATATGAGTAGTTGATATTGATAGACTTTTAGTTATGAATATTAAGTTGATATCAATAGACTTTTAGTTATGAGTATGTAGTTGATATTTATAAACTTCTGAGTAGTTGATATTAAAAGACTTTTAGTTATGAATATTAAGTTGATATCAATAGACTTTTAGTTATGAGTATGTAGTTGATATTTATAAACTTCTGAGTAGTTGATATTAAAAGACTTTTAGTTATGAATATTAAGTTGATATCAATAGACTTTTAGTTATGAGTATGTAGTTGATATTTATACACTTCTGAAATATGAGTAGTTGATATTGATAGACTTTTAGTTATGAATATTAAGTTGATATCAATAGACTTTTAGTTATGAGTATGTAGTTGATATTTATAAACTTCTGAGTAGTTGATATTAAAAGACTTTTAGTTATGAGTATGTAGTTGATAGCAGTACGGAAGTCGCACTGGGGTATGTTTCGCACTAGGGTACATGTCGCACTACAGTACGGGAACCTTCAAAATACATGTGTAAATCGTCTTCAGCTGATGTCATCAGTCATATAGTGTATCAGATGACTTTAATCGTGAGAGGTTTTAATTTAAGTATAGCATCTGATCAACCGACGTAAAGATCACTTATTATCATCGCACCACATGAATACATAGCTAGAACAACTTATATGGGTGGGGCGAGACTCTGGAGTTTGGGATACCAATGGGAATTGGCCATTGTGAAACATGGCCAACAGTGCAGGACAAAATTTAAAAAACGTAAAAAAATGAAAACAAATTTCAATTTTTGATGGTTTTGATTGTTCAAGTAATGTCCGTCGAAATAAGGTCCGATAAGGTAGTGGAAAACTATGGAAAACTATCATGTTTGATTAAACGTTTTAAAGTTAAAAGTTAATGGCAAACTCAAAAGTATTTAATGTCAAATTCAAAAAAGAGTTTATTAAAACTCAACCTGTGCAATTTTCTTCATCTGACCCATCTTCACAATCTGGATCTCCGCCGTCACAAACAAATGATTCCCGAATACATTGCTCTTGATCCGCGCACTTTACAAATCCTGTGTCACATTCGGCGGCCACTGGTGAAAGTAATCGGTATTAACAAACTTCTGAGTAGTTGATATTAATAGACTTTTAATTATGAGTATTTAGTTGATATTAATAAACTTTTAGTTATGAGTATGTAGTTGATACTTATAGACTTCTGAGTAGTTGAGATTAATAAACTTTTAGTTATGAGTATGTAGTTGATATTTATACACTTCTGAAATATGAGTAGTTGATATTGATAGACTTTTAGTTATGAATATTAAGTTGATATCAATAGACTTTTAGTTATGAGTATGTAGTTGATATTTATAAACTTCTGAGTAGTTGATGTTAAAAGACTTTTAGTTATGAGTATGTAGTTGATAGCAGTACGGAAGTCTTTATTGAATGCGTAAAGTTTTTTGTCGCACTTTAGTTCGTGTCGCACTACAGTCCAGGTAGCGTACTTTAGTGCGACAGTGTCGATCTTGAAGGTTTCGCACTAGGGTATGTTTCGCACTAGGGTATGTGTCGCACTACAGTACGGGAACCTTCAAAATACATGTGTAAATCGTCTTCAGCTGATGTCATCAGTCATATAGTGTATCAGATGACTTTAATCGTGAGAGGTTTTAATTTAAGTATAGCATCTGATCAACCGACGTAAAGATCACTTATTATCATCGCACCACATGAATACATAGCTAGAACAACTTATATGGGTGGGGCGAGACTCTGGAGTTTGGGATACCAATGGGAATTGGCCATTGTGAAACATGGCCAACAGTGCAGGACAAAATTTAAAAAACGTAAAAAAATGAAAACAAATTTCAATTTTTGATGGTTTTGATTGCCTTCTAGCGTTCATATTAATGTCCGTTCACATTTATGTCCGTTCAAGTAATGTCCGTCCAAATAAGGTCCGATAAGGTATGCGAAGTTTTCCTAATGTACGTCTAAAAAACTGAAAGGTTTTATGGTTGCAACTTATGCTTAGTTTTGGAATGCTTAGTTTTGGAAAAATTTGGAATATAAATGCTACACAATGAAATGTTTGTTCAAAAAGAGATCGGAATAATGATGGAATGTTGTCCATGCTTGTTTTTCATGCACGTTGGTTGGCCAATACTGGAGTTTGATCATTTTCACGTGTCAAATAAGATATGGTTCTCCTCCATTGTGGCGAGAATCACATATGGCATTATAGAGATTTATTAGCTGACGAATTGAGCCATAATTCAAACATTTTTAAAAGCTGTAATCATAATCATTATCATAGCTACTATATAAACCTTATCGGACGTTACTTAACCGGACATTACGTGAACGGACATGATTTTTAACGGACATTAAAATGAACGCATTAAAAGGGCCTCCTGTGTCCAATTAATGTCCGTTCAAATAAAGTCCGATAAGGTATACCAATTTCAGGAGAAGTAGTACTAGTATGGTATTTCATAGAAGTCACTGGAGTAGAGGTCGATGGCTACCTAAAAGGATGTGACCCATGCCTTCAAATGGTAAGGTCGCGTAACATCGAACGTGCTACAGATCATCACTAGCTGATCCGTCATCTCAAATATTTTTTGGCAAGCTGTGGAAAGGATGTGACCCAAGTACTCGAGTAGAAACATGAGTACTTGTTGGAACTTGTTGGTGTCGTTGGAGCTCGTTATCATGTGGTGGTACTCGTATATATAATGCTCAATGAAGGGCAAGCTATATCAATCATGGCTACTCCTTCTGTTGAATACACTACACCAATACACTAAATTATTTGCTTCAGTAGTATTCTAAAAGTAGAATTAAAGAAAAGTAAGATAAACTTGTCACTATAGTGTTGTCACTATATAGTGCGTTTTGCACACTATATAATGACAAAGATCAGCTGTCATTATGAAGTGCTTGTCACTATATAGTGTTGTCACTATATAGTGTGATTACCTCTGCGAGCAGATCTCACTGATTGATCTGTTAGAGAGCCAGAAACGAGTTGGAATAATATCAATAGCAAAACGTACATTTTAAGAATTCACTACGCCTTGCGTAGCACAAGTGTAAAGATTGTGTAAAGATTGTTTTGGTGAGAGCCAAAATCCAGCTCTCACGAGTTCGTGGCGTCGATATGACTGAGCACAATGTCCATAGTTTGTCTAATGTCATAATGGCCTTTGTTTTAATCCTTGGTATAAGGGGAGTTAGCAACGGGTTTGCTTGCCACAATGAAGCAGGAACCCTCTGCTTGCAATGCTCATGAATAAAGCTTTGTTTTGTCATTGGTCTGGGTACCTGTTTTGACCCCTGTCTTTATGTTACATTGAAAAGATCTCACATGAGGAGTCTTTAACATTCTCAGACAGATTACAAGCTTCTTTTAGGTACACAGAACAGCACAGAGAGTTGGAGAATTTGCTGGCAAAGCCCTTTGAAAATATAGCGGCCCAAAAGATTAGGTTTATTTCTCACAGAGGCTAAAAAAATGTCAAATTGAACCGTCACGGTGCAATTGGTTTCTGGAGAAGAATTCTTTTAAAACTGTATAGCTTCGGTCCAGGAAAAGTTATATTTTCAATACGACCAAATACAGAATTTAATGGCAGTTTCAAAGTCAGCGCACCTCTTCATTCTAACTTTTGATTCAAAGAAATAGCTAATTTTACTTGTTGTTACTCGTACTTTAAACATGATTAACCTGGAATAAATATTTAATTAAAACACGTTACATTTTTTGCTATTCAAAATATATTGCTTACTAGTTACTAACTGAGTAGTAACTGAGGGTCAGAAATGATTTCAATTACAAGTGTTTTCAAGTTTAATTGTTTATCGTTCATTCATTCTGTAATAAAGCAGAATCAAGTTAGAATCAATCACAAAATTGTGAATATCACGGCGTACTGAGAGCGAGTCCTGCTCATTTAGAAATGATTAAAATAAAAATAAATATGGTATGTAGATATTAATATTATTGTTAAATCCAAAGAGTTACTTTAAGGGGGGTTCACCCTGATTTTTTGTGAAACTTGGTTTCGAGATAGCAATTGACCAACAAACTATGATCGGTGACCAAACTTTTGATGTTGTCCCGGACCCCAACCTCCAAACGGTGCCCGCGGGGCAGCCACGCCCATATTTGGTCCAAATTAGGCCCAATGTAGCCAAATACCCTGAACATGCCCAAAAACCAGATGTTAGGTGCTTTACTTGTAGTTGTAGCTAGTGATCCCCTGAACTCGTACATGAAATTTCATCAAGATTGGACAACAAATGGCTGAGTTATGAGCTAAAACTATATGCCCATATTTGGGCATACGCACCTAATTTGATCGATTTTGGTCCATAAATTAATCAAATATCAATATTTTTGAATGAAACCAACTTTATATGAAAGTTAAGCCTAAACTACACATTCTCTATGATTGTCAGCTCAATATCTACCTAACTGTGGATTCTGTGTTCAAATAATCGCAAAAAATGAACAAAATCACCCATATCTCAGGTCGCGATATTTGCGAAACTGACTTCGCTCAAAACAATAGAACTCAATAGGGTTTCAATATTTTTTCATGAAATTTTCAGAATCAACGTAGAATTGCCTCATGAACTTAAGTTTTGGGACAGAATTTTGAGTTAGGCCTTTTTAAAAATTTGGCGGCCAAATGTTTTTAAAGGCCTAATTCAAAATTCTGTCCCAAAACTTAAGGTCATGAGGCAATTCTCCGAATGGAATTGCTCACCTAATGCGGGTTTTGACTCAGCAGGTAAATATTCCTACCCTTTTTAACTGCGGCAGTGAAATCCCGGCCGAAGGCCGGGTTTACACTAGTAGTTTCAATAAACACTGCTCTGATCAACATGTAGCAGGATGATCCTGATGATTTGTAGCCGAGTCTCAACATATGGTACTACTAACTTCTTATTCAGGTGTTAGGTCGATAGTTATCTCTGAAAACAGCTTGGAGGATGCCTATAACAAGCTTACCACTGGAGGCGAAGCTTGGTCAAATGAGAAATTAAAAGGTGATTACTCAATCTTTCCCTTTCGAAATTAAACTTTCGTATAAATACTGAAAAATACCAAACATTTCAACTGTAACCATATCATACCCGCAGTGTCGAGAAGTACCATAGGATCAACAGATATGGCATCCCGGACCCTCAGTAAGCAGAAGAGTAGGATGCAGAGCATGAAGAACCTGCGGGTTAATAGGGGGAGTCTAACACCAGGCAGTCCTAGAGATCCCCTCATTAAGGAACCAGAGGAGATGAGAGTTGCTACGTCTCAGGTAAACTATTGTAGTTCGATTTATATGTGGTGCTGGGTTGTAAACCATTGCTATAGTACAAAATATATTGGTTAAGTTTCTTTTATTGTCTATTTCAAAGTCTAGACAAAACTACCTTTATACTTCGACTCGATAGTCCAAAATACTAACCAAGATACTAGAAATGTAGACACCACTTTCTGGGAGACGTAGAGCTCAAAGTAATGTTACAGAGAACGCCGATGGGTGTCCCGTCCATGATTCCTCCTGCTCTGTGGGCGTCCATAGTAAAGAACTTCAAGATATTCAAACATCACTGGTTCCTCACTCTCGCCATGACCATTTTACCTGCAGGTATGTGTAGGTATGTGTAAGGTATGTGTACTGTGTAGGTATGTGCAGGTATGTGTAGGTATGTGTAAGGTATGTGCAGGTATGTGCAGGTATGTGTAGGTATGTGCAGGTATGTGCAGGTATGTGCAGGTATGTGTAAACTGCAAGGTCGTCATATATTTTACACTTCTTGGAAATGATATTATGATTTATAATAGTTAACTCATTATATTTATATAAGTTTTACTTTCGTGAACCAGTAACTAAAAGCTAAGTAGTATTTACCGTAAACGGATAAATCATACTTGATTATCTTAAACAATTAAAACCTACAGTGTTCTGTGTGCTGATGTTTCTGGTCCTACGTATCGGTAAACAGGCTGATGTCACAAAGCCCCTTCTTCTTTGGGTAACAGCTTATCCTAAAACAACTGTGAGTAAATATCACGTTATGCCCATATAAGGGATGTAGATTGTAGAGATAGTAAATACACGATTAATGGAGGAGATAAAAGACTTCAAGTATACATTAATTGATATAGAAAGTCATTAAAATTATACAAGCGCTAATCATGCACTGATTATGAATACTCTGATTAATTTACGGTCGGTGTTGTAGTTCAATGAAGAGAATATATTGGTCAGTGATTTTGATAGTTACATGATAGTTGGTACTGAACTCACCACCGAGCATTACAGCTACCTTACCTATCATCTGCTGGAAGTGCATCCCTGACAAGAGGCCTGGAGAAAACTGTAGCTTTGTCTGGAACAGAGCTGTTCGATATCTCTCATATCGGTTTGGAAAAATTAATGTTGAGGAATAATGTAGCATAATTTTATTTTAAGTTTGTCATGATTTAAGATTTGAGCGTAAATTGATTTGGAAATTGAAAAAAATGTGATTCGCCAACAAGCATATTTTTTCAAAAAGCAATATTTCTTTCATTGAATTTTAGTGAAATGTTAATAGAACTTTTCATCAAAACACTAGCCTCCATTTCCAGGGAACTTGGATATGGACAGCTATTTGCTTGATTTGGAGGAAGAACTAGGCTTCACTAATTTCAGAAAACACTACGTTGTTGCTGAAGAATTAGAAGAGTCTAAGGTTATAATTAAATTAGCAATGAGACACTTTATTTTTATTTATGAGATAATTTACGACATTTGTTCGCACTGACTACTGTTACACCTGGGATGATGATTAATCACTCTACACTCGACTGTCACGTGAATTTTTAACCCGTTCTTTAGATGGCCCTGAATGACTGTTCGAAACCCTAGTACCTAACCCTCTAATTCGATCCCAACCCTAACCCTAACCCGATCCCTAACAAAAGCATATGCTGGAACCCTAACCCTAACGAGAAATTAGACCAACTTCCTATCACGTGATCAAGACAGTTTTTCGCCAATATCTCGCCAGGGAGCATTTAAACCCTATGTCATGGGGGGTGATTCGGAATCAGCGTTCGAAAATACATCAATATTAGATGATTTCAACTGTCAGTGGTCCTTTTAGAAAAATCTCGAAGATCGAGTGTCGAGTGATTTAGCACGCTCGTAACACTGTAACGCTGTAACACTGTAACACTGTAACACTGTAACACTGTAACACTGTAACACTGTAACACTGTAACACTGTAACACTGTAACACTGTAACGCTGTAACGCTGTAACACTGTAACACTGTAACGCTGTAACACTGTAACACTTGTTAAACACCTGTAACACTTGTTTAACACCTGTAACACCTGTAACACCTGTAACACTGTAACACTGTAACACTGTAAAACTGTAACACAGTAACACTGTAACACTGTAACACTTGTTAAACACCTGTAACACTTGTTTAACACCTGTAACACCTGTAACACCTGTAACACTGTAACACTGTAACACTGTAACACTGTAACGCTGTAACACTGTAACACTGTAACGCTGTAACACTGTAACACTTGTTAAACACCTGTAACACTTGTTTAACACCTGTAACACCTGTAACACCTGTAACACCTGTAACACTGTAACACTGTAACACTGTAACACTGTAACACTGTAACACTGTAACACTGTAACACGGTAACACCTGTAACACCTGTAACACCTGTAACACTGTAACACTGTAACACTGTAACACTGTAACACTGTAACACTGTAACACTGTAACACTGTAACACTGTAACACTGTAACACTGTAACACTGTAACGCTGTAACACTGTAACACTGTAACGCTGTAACACTGTAACACTTGTTAAACACCTGTAACACTTGTTTAACACCTGTAACACCTGTAACACCTGTAACACTGTAACACTGTAACACTGTAACACTGTAACACTGTAACACTGTAACACTGTAACACGGTAACACTGTAACACTGTAACACTGTAACACTGTAACACTGTAACACTTGTTAAACACCTGTAACACTTTAACAACAGGTGACAGCACGGTTTGGAGACTCCCCTCTTCACGCATCACCCATTTCCTTGTCAGTAGCCCACAACACTATTATTGCAGCTACAGGAGGTAAGCTCTCTGATCCAAAAGTGACCGGCAACTTGAAAATCATAGTAAAATATAACTGATCTTGCAATTTGAATTATTTTCCTGCATTATTTTATCTGTACACCAAGTTCAATGTGATTTAAGTTCTGAACTCCATAATTATAACTTAAAACTCCCAGAACACTCATTGCATACTTAACTCCATACCTGAAGCTCATGTTTCACGCGTTCTTTATTGCACCCTACTCTCAGGAAACAAGAGCGTGAGGACTATAAATAAACCGCTCCCTCTTATGGAGGGGGAGGGAAGGCCTGGCAGCAGCATTGCCCTTATGACTCTTTATCTCCTAGGGGTAGGATTCATATTTATCAACAAATTATTTTACCTAACTTTCCTGGACTTGCATCTGAGTAAAGTTGAGGGACTTACGTGGACTTGTATCTGTGTTTTTTTAACTTAATATTAAATACAGAAATAGTCGTTGACCTCAATATGTCAATATGTTCGAAAAGATGCTGGCTAAATTTCATCGCATTAATCCTTTTTTACCCCCAGGTTTCATTTCTGGTTTCGCTGTCCGTGGTGTTACCTGCTGCCGAGGTTACATCCGGAGCCAAACATCTTCAGCAATTTGCTGGCCTCAAACCTAACCACTTTTGGCTGGGTTTGTTTTTCATAATTTATCCTAGAATAGTTTGTTCGTTCATTAAAATTTTGTCTTTTTAGAGGTTAAGATGCTAAATATAGAGTTAAACGAGCCAATTCTGTCCCGACCAAATTTATTCCCAGCCAAATTGTTTCCTAGTCGAATTCTGACCCAGCCCACTTTCAGGTATCTATTTGGTGGTCTTACTAGTATCCCTCGTATCTTCTATATTGTGTACGGCAACTGTTTTATTGACTGAGGAGCCAGCCTTTTATCAAGATGGCAGGTGTGTATTATCATTTTCTGATATTTCACGGATTTTACTCACAATTATACAGCTCTTATATATCCTTTCTAAAATGATGGATTTTCTGCTAATCTTACAGTTTGGTATGGTGATAGTTATATACAGATCTTTTTAAAGCTAGATTATTTCTAGGTGGCTTCTGGTGTGGGTAATAACCTTTTTGTACTTCCTGGCGGGGCTCCCTCTCAGCTTGCTTATAGCTAATGTCTGGTGAGTTTTACAGTTTGCCGCTTAAATGCTGCAGGCTAAAGAAGTTACAAAGTTATCCTATCAATTCGTTTATACAAATTTGAGTCGAATCAAACACTAGCTCGAATTGTTTAGTGCTAAGTTGGTGGCTAAATGGTGGGATTATTCATTATTCTGTTGTGTCCAGTATATGGTATAATATTGCTACAATGATATTATTGTTTATAGTGTGATTATTTAATTTTTCAGTAAAACTCCGACTGCGTCATACGCCATATCTGAACTGGTAAACAAAGGACTGGGGTTCGTCACAGTCGTTATTTTTGGGGTGTTTTGTTTGGATGAAGTCGACATGAAAGAGGTACGTATGGTCACCATCCAAATCGGTAACACAGTTTGATGTATATCTGTTTAAACAACTTTCTGCTACATAAATTAAGTTTTTTCACTTCTCACTTTTATATTTAATTCGTAATCTCAATCAATAGCAAATATTCAACTAGTGAAACCTAGACCAATTTTGTCGATTTTTTTACCCTATTTAAGATAAATTAACACCCCCCATTTAAGATAAAGTAATACCTTTGTCCCCTAATATTTAAGATACAATAACAGTTAACACCTTTGTGAAATAACACCTTTATCCCTCAGGTAGCAGATATACTGAGTATATTATTTATGGTGTTGCCCAGTTTCTCTGCAGCTCACGCCATGTCCTCCATCTACAAGAACTACAATCTCCAGCAAAAGTGCAATGTGAGCCACTTTTATAGCCATGAGCTCAAGCCTCAATCACGAACTTTATTTCTTGATCTTCCCAGGCACTAGTTGACTTTCTTGGTACTAGTTGTCGAAATAGTTCCCCTTAGGCTTAATCATTTCGCATAGATAAACTCGTGAAATAGTATCACACATTTTTGATCTACAACTTTTTAACACTTAAATACCTCCCCACAGATAGGCCTATGTACAGAGGAGCCGAGTGCTAGCTACCTCTCCTTCGAACAGCCTGGTATAGCAGGAAACATAGCTGCTCTGGCAATCTGCTCTGTCGTGTACCTTATCATGCTTATATCCTACGATAGGGTCAGGAGGAGGTACCTAAGCAATAAAAAACAGGTGAGATATTGTCGATACGAATCTTAGCCAGAACTCTTGGTACGATTGATCCACTCAGTTATACTAAAAATTAAAAGTTAGTATAATTTAATCCTAATTTTCCTATCTAACCCCATTATCTGTCAGATAGTAAGAGTTCCCCTCATGTCTGTTCTACAAGAAGAAGAAGGTGTTGTCAGGGAAAGGGAGCGTATATACTCAGAGGAGTACGCATTTGATAGCATTGTCATCAGGGATCTTCAAAAACATTATACGAGTAAAGGTTGGGATATATCTTTCGGAGATCTTGTGCACCATTAGTGCACCATTAGTGCACCATTAGTGCACCATTAGTGCACCATTAGTGTTGTGCACCATTAGTCTATTAGTGTTGACTGTTGATTATGAAGATAACTAAAAGTGAAAACCCTGATCAGGGCATAAGAAAAACGTCCATCAACTGGATCAACTGGATCAACTGGATCAACTGGATCAACTAGATCAACTGGATCAACTGGATCACAAGATCACCTTCATTATTTTATTACCATCTTTACTATTATTTCTCACCCTGCCGGCGGTGTTTACTGGTAACACTGCGGTTGTTTGACAAGTTTTGCCACAGGTAACGGTGTAGTTGGACTAAACGAGTTGTCACTGGGAGTCCGACCTGGTGAAACGTTTGGACTATTGGGAGGGAACGGAGCCGGCAAGTCCACAACGTTCAGAATATTAACAGGCTCTGAACTGGACCACGGTGGGGTTGTGTTGTATAACGGAGAGAATCTAAAGGATCATCACAGTCAGCCTTGTGTTGGGTACTGTCCTCAGTTCCCTGCTCTTATACCTTCTTTATCTGGTTAGCAAACCTTATCACAGTTAACCTGGATATAGAAAACATTAATTCTCGGTGGTTTAAGGGGTCATTCACATATTATGTAATCACTTTTTGGCCAATTTTAAACCGGCCCTCCCCCTCCGTAATCATTTTTACACATAGCTATTGTGTCAAAATTACACTAGCGTAATCATTCGGAAACCCCCTCCCCCCTCGGCTGCAATTACGTAATATGTGAAAGACCCCTTATGATTTTCTTGAGTTTACAAATACCGAAAAGAATATATTAAACCTCGATTATAATACCACTCTAAAAATAATAAATCGTCTCGATCTCAGTGCGACAACACATGATACTGTTCGCTCGAATCAAGAACCAATCCGAGGAATTCCTCGTTAAAGATATAGTGAGATAATGAAAGTTATGGGACTTCTTGAGCACGCTGATATCTCAGTACAAAGCCTCAGGTTATATCAGATGATTGTATAATATGTGTTTTTATCATTACCTCAATATTTATAAAATATGAACGATCTCTTAGAATAAATTCGCCTCCGAATTAGCGGAGTTTTGTGGCTAACTTATAATTCCAATTTCCAATTTCAATTTCAAATCTCAATGGCTTAAAACTAAAAGTGGATAACATTTGTCTGTTAGTGCTGGTAACAAGAAGAAGTTGGGTGTATCATTAGCTCTAATAGGTGCTCCCACCATCCTCCTACTGGACGAACCTACCACCGGTGAGATGGACTGTAGGGTACTTTTTCATCAATTTATTATCGTCAACAGATACAGCCTCCCTCTGGTTCATAACATAGATATCTGATATTTGAGCTGTAAGTGATAGGTAAGCTCACTATTTTCTTATTTTTCTATTCAACTAATGATAGCTTCTGATCAGGTCTTGATGAAGACGGTAAGAAGTTGCTGGTGCAGCTGCTGAACAGGCTAAGAGACAGAGGAACCGCTACTCTCATCACATCTCACAAGTAAGTACACAAGTAAAGTACAAGTTAGGACAGCACACTTTTCACTCAGCACAGCTTTAACATAACTTGTTCGATCTACAGTTTCCGTACCTGTACCGGTATCCATTTAGCTTGTAACAGCTAATCTCCCTCAGTATGCACGAGAGTGAAGCTATCTGTAACCGTATCTGTTAACAGCTAATCTCCCTCAGTATGCACGAGAGTGAGGCTATCTGTAACCGTATCTGTTAACAGCTAATCTCCCTCAGTATGCACGAGAGTGAAGCTATCTGTAACCGTATCTGTTAACAGCTAATCTCCGTCAGTATGCACGAGAGTGAGGCTATCTGTAACCGTATCTGTTAACAGCTAATCTCCCTCAGTATGCACGAGAGTGAGGCTATCTGTAACCGTATCTGTTAACAGCTAATCTCCCTCAGTATGCACGAGAGTGAAGCTATCTGTAACCGTATCTGTTAACAGCTAATCTCCCTCAGTATGCACGAGAGTGAAGCTATCTGTAACCGTATCTGTTAACAGCTAATCTCCCTCAGTATGCACGAGAGTGAGGCTATCTGTAACCGTATCTGTTAACAGCTAATCTCCCTCAGTATGCACGAGAGTGAGGCTATCTGTAACCGTATCTGTTAACAGCTAACCTCCCTCAGTATGCACGAGAGTGAGGCTATCTGTAACCGTATCTGTTAACAGCTAATCTCCCTCAGTATGCACGAGAGTGAAGCTATCTGTAACCGTATCTGTTAACAGCTAATCTCCCTCAGTATGCACGAGAGTGAGGCTATCTGTAACCGAATAGGTATTCTGAGCCAGGGATCACTACAGTGTCTTGGAGAAATAGGAGATTTGAAGGAAAAGTACGGGGATTACACCATCGTCAGAGTTACTCTCAATCCAGCAATGCAGGTGGGAATAATCTGAGTGTGTGATAAGCGATATTTAGAAAAAATTACTGTGTATTTTTTTTTGAAATTTTTTGATATCCTGGCAGTGGGAATAACAATTTGACTTCAGGACGACCTTGATAGTAGAATGGCATCCCTCGGAGCTTTCATAAGTTACAACTTCCCTGGAGCCGAGATCAAGGTAAGAAGAAATATGTACATAGTTACACAAAATTGATTATTATTATTTTGATAAATCCTATGTCAAGATACGTACCAAGTGCTGCACGTGACATTTAAAATGAATTTCATAGCCTATGTAAATTTTAATTTCACAGGAGATAAAAGACCGGATAGTCACCTACGCTATTCCGGGGAGTACCACCACGAAATGGTCTGTGCTCTTCACTAAACTCGAGCTGAACTCAGCTGATTTTGATATCGAGGATTACACCGTCTCAACCGCTAGCTTAGCTCAGGTTAATCTTAGATTATATAATATCTTCATTTAACTACTACTTATCGTAACTACCATAATCATCAGTAACATTGGGTTGTTCAAAATTAATGTTTTTTGGAAATAGGACATAATTATACATTTTGTCCAAAATATATGAACGATCCCTTAAATGTAAAATGATACTTTGTAGTAACGAGTTTGCCATTTATTGTATCATTTAACCATTACAGGTTTATCTCTCGATAACGAGACACCAGTACGAGTCTGGTCACCACAAAGCCCACAAGTCCAAATACATCGTCTGATCAGTTTATTCTGTGAAAATTCACTCGTTTTTATTATGTAATGGAAAAAGGTGACAGAAAGTAGAAATGGAGCAGACTTTTTAACTGTTCTGTTTCAAATAATGGCCGTCTTAAAGAGGACCGTCTTTTTGAGAGCTCTTTTTTTTTATTATTTGATTGTTTTCATTTTTATTAAGGGATTTTGGTAATATTTTGAGGGACTTTTGTTTTTATTTTATTTCATTGTTAGGTTTCAATTTATCTTTGTTATTTAAACGAAGTGTTTGTATTGAGTACAAGTATGACTATGATTGAAACAGGGACCTCCGACCACCCTTATTATCTTTTAGTATTACTCGAAAGGCGGATTCACTTAATTTCATTTGACTTTGATGAGGATTCCCAATAAAAACATAAATCTAGGGAGGTGATTTGCCATGCGGAAACAATCTATCAAGAGTACGACGCAACTGGAAATAACAAGTATCACAACGGCAAAAACTTCACCTAGCCATGATATGAGTCTACGCGTACTGCGTGACTGCAAGCGAGAGGGCTCTGGATAGAGCAAGGCAAAAACTTTAATTAGGTTTTAGGTGCAGACGGTTGTACCTGTACCCATAACATATGAATATGCGTTTTACTAGCCAGTCACGTGACCAAAACAGTTTGCCTATAACTCCTAAGCTAGCTCAGAGAAACGTTTTTTCCCGATTTCATACTTCATAGGAGGTGATTTCACATAGCCATGAGCCACGCGGTCGCGCGCTACTGCAAGCGAGAGGGCTCTGGTTAGAGCAACGAGGTGATTCATAATCAGCGGCCTAAAAACATTGACTGAAGTTACATTGACTCCCTCAGGCCCTTTCGCTAGTATTATGTACACTGTGTATGGTATTCCACAGGGTTGTAAGTGGTTCACATCTAATCGCCACCTGGTAGATCACGTGGTTCATGGAACGACAAGCGTGTTTTGTCTTATGTAGTAATTGGGCGCGCGGCGCAATGTTATTCACAAGAAAGACATGGCGCCGTACAAAACACACTTTTACAGAAGACGTTTCCCTGAAATGTGTATGCGATTTTGTATGCGATTTGCGCGCCGCACGTACGTTAAAATAATTATATTTGTAGAATTTATGACGGTAACCCTTCAAAAGTCAAAATAAACAGATCGTATATTTATAGACACTATGATATGAATAACTAAATAACACCTTGAACCCAACTTGGAACCACATCCAAGGGCCGCACCGACCCCAGAAAAGCTATAATTCAAGTCAAAAATCTTTACTCGGCCCTGTATGTGATTTGTGTTCCGGGGTAGTGGACAGATGTTTTAGTGGTTGAATAGCTAGTACCTATCCCAAACCAACATAAAAACCAAGTTTCGACCTCTCAAACCACTCAGGCCACTCCCAGGGGCCACGCCCATCACAAAATAGCTGAAATCCTGGTCAAATCCCATACAAATTCAGACTGAGAATATTTACCCCCGTATGCGATTTATGCTCCGGGGTAGGTGGCCCATGGAACATAAATCGCATACGGGGGTAAAGATTTTCAATCTTGATTTTACCAGGATTTCAGCTATTTTGGGATGGGCGTGGCCCCTGGGAGTGGCCTGAGTGGGTTGGGAGTTCGAAACTTGATTTTTATGATGGTTTGGGACAGGTACTAACTATTTAAAACCCTAAACCTGTTCCAAATACCCCGGAACACAAATTGCATACAGGGGTGAAATCGCATACAAATCGCATACACAAATCAAGGAAACGTGCTCTCCACTTTTAAAGATTATGTCGCAAAGGGTGTATTCTTGGTTTTTGTGGCGAATCTTAATCTTGCCCCCATGATCATGTAATGTTTCTATTATCGAGCTATTACCAGTAATGTTCTAACTTATTCTGACTTCAGATATTGACAACTATTATGTCCGCAATTTTTGTATAGCCGTGTGTGTAGTCAGTGTAGTTTTAACGTTGCAATTATCGAGCTCTCTTAAATCTTGATACTTGACTCTTATCTTTTTGTAATTTAATAGCCTGTGCATTTGTGTGCTCGCTATTATACATCTTGAGGACAGAATTATACATGGAACCCTTGTATAATAGACATCTAGAGAATATAAATCAAGAGGCTTGCATATAATGAACATATTGACACGGGTGCAGAGTTGAGTCTGTACGGAACCTAGTAGTTTCAGATCCTTGTTTAACTTGCCGTACAGCAAGGTCATCCACTACTTTAGCCCGGCGAGGCACATAACTCCCTCTACAACTCCATGACAAATGTTTCATATATACTAGCCGAGTTCACAAGAATATATCCTTGTGTTTGAGAAGAGCTCGTTAGAACTGCTTCCTTTCCCTTCAGTATCCCACAGTCTCTCGAGTTTCGTAACTGCCAGAGAACTCTCTTAAACAATTACTAGACTCGGTGATTATAAATCAAGAGGCTTGCATATAATGAACATATTGACACGGGTGCAGAGTTGAGTCTGTACGGAACCTAGTAGTTTCAGATCCTTGTTTAACTTGCCGTACAGCAAGGTCATCCACTACTTTAGCCCGGCGAGGCACATAACTCCCTCTACAACTCCATGACAAATGTTTCATATATACTAGCCGAGTTCACAAGTTATATCCTTGTGTTTGAGAAGAGCTCGTTAGAACTGCTTCCTTTCCCTTCAGTATCCCACAGTCTCTCGAGTTTCGTAACTGCCAGAGAACTCTCTTAAACAATTACTAGACTCGGTGATTATAAATCAAGAGGCTTGCATATAATGAACATATTGACACGGGTGCAGAGTTGAGTCTGTACGGAACCTAGTAGTTTCAGATCCTTGTTTAACTTGCCGTACAGCAAGGTCATGCACGAGGTTAGAGATCACGAGGTTAGAGATCACATCTTTCATAAGTTGTATGTGGACCAAGTCGCAGATGCCAGGGACAGTGTTTTTTTCGAGATTTCCAGTGAAAGCAACATGACATACTACGATGATATTCAATCTTGCGATTTGAAGAGATCAGCTACGAAATGAGAAGATTTCAGATCAATGCACTAACATCGATCTTCAAAGTAAAGTAATATACTATAATAATAGAAAAGAGTGACGAACAGATAAAATCAGCGCAGAATACCGTGCAAACGGAGATTAGAAGCTACTCTTCAGTCGTTAGCAAGAGTATCAGTGCTGCTTGCGCCCCGAAGAAGATCCACGCTGCAGTTAAGAAAGTAGAAAACCAGATAGGGGGAAGTAAGAACGTTGTGAACTATCATAATCAGAGAGTGAGCAACTCCAGAGTAAAGTTGAAAAGGTTCTGAGTGGAATGAGCGAGAAGCCTTTAGTTAGGGACTGTCTGAGTGTCTGAGTGTCTGAGTCATAACACTGCTTACATTTTTACAGCAACACATTTTCCGGGTTACATGGCCGATAAGAAGTTTGTTAAGTACATAATATATAGAACGGTTCTGATATTATTACATAGCACATTTTAGGATTGGATTTATATTCTTATTATAATTAATAATAAATGCTCATTGTAGCCATATATTTTAGATTTTCATCATCATCATAGGGGCTGCTGTAGACTTCGAGCTCAGAAAGAAAATGTGTCAGTAAAGTTCACATTGAGCAGCTCTGTCCATGCAACCCAAGTGGCAAGTGATCAGAAACGCCAGTAAACTACGCACTAAGGATGGGTATAGATCAGTTTTCATCTGCCTTTATGAAACTTGTAGAAGAAATGAGACTGAAACGGACTACAGAGAAATATTAACTGACAAGTGTAATGAAAGTTAATAATTAACCCTAACTTGGAGTGTTAGCAGACTGTCCTCCTTCGAAGGAGTAATATGAAAGTGAAAGTTCAGGGGGGGGGGGGGGGGGTACTTAAACAAACACATACACTGAACCACTCTAAAACGGTCAGATATTGATGGGGGTAAGCGTAAGCAAATGGGGGCGTGCCACTAATGTGCCACGCCTCCTGTGTAGTGTGTATATTTTTATAATTGATTATAAATTATGTGTGTATGTCCATCTATTCGATAACTTAAAAGGGCTTGCATGTTAATTGCAATGTTTGGATATCATTATGTGGACCGCTATTGTAACGTATTATTATACATAGTATTCACTACCAAGTAAAAGATTCAATTGTAGCTAAATAAACGATTATTAATGATTCAAGATAAGTTAACGATTAATTATCAATATAAAACTATCATCTATGTAAAACTTTCAATCGGTCAATCCAAATTAAATTGATTTAAATTAATCAATAAACATATTGTATCCGATCAAAAAAATCAATATCTATTTCATGCTAAAACATTATTTTGATAAAATTTATTTTAAATTAAATAAAATTAAAATAACCCTATACCTCATTTCATCTGAATAAATTCATGTCTGGTTGAATTAAAAATCTTCATTTAACCCTCTTCCCCTTCCAAGACATTTCATGACAAAGAGTAACAGTTGGTTTTTCTTCAATCTTAACCTCAAACAATGGCTCCACTACAGGAATCCCAGGTACCTCCTTCTCTCTTTTGAGGGGTAGTACCCGTTCAGTAAAACAGGTGTGTTTCTCCAGAGCATTCGGACTTACAGCTGGAAACAAACACACGCCACACAAATAGGGAAGCAGCTGAAGGTGAATCAAAATGTGGGTCTCAAACAGCTCCTCGCTATCTCCCACGAGTTTGAAGCGACAGTAAGGACAGACTCTGCTCTCGATTTCCTGTTGTGAGGTCCGTGTGAGAGGCAGGGGTAAGTCAGGGTTGTAGGAAAGTTGCTGGTGGTCGATCCAGTAGTGGATCTTGGCACAGAACAGGTTCTTGAAGCGCTTGTTGCAGTATTCGCATGATTTGAAGTTTGATAGGGTCACTGGACACGGGATTATTTGAACAGACATATTCTGGTCGGGTGTTCTTCTGTTGGTTGTAACATTGCTTGATTGCGGTAATGGTTGTGAATTCTGGATATGACTTGACCGTGGTTCAAGGGTATTATTCCCCTGCCGGGTTAGCTCATTAGTTTGCTCATTACGAGTGAAAAAGTATTTTGTTTGTCTACACATGATCTGCCGGGCAGCCTCAGAGGGATCACACATGCGGATCTTTAGAACAGGTTTCAGAGCAGTTACACGGGGTATTGAGGGACTAGCGGGAGGCAGAGTATCCTGCACCTTCTCGTATATAACAACTTGAGGAATTTCAGCAGAACCAGGCTGAGATCTCTGGCATACTTGGCGTGGGTGGCTTGATGTTAAGGACTTTAATTCAGCAGGATCTACTGGTCTAACTGTTGGAGGACCTGGTGATTTGGGGGGCCCAGGGGACTTCGGTGTCTCTAAAAGGGTGGGTTCAGGAGATTTGAATGGCCTCACTGTGGGTGGTCCGGGCGATTTGTGAGGCATCACGATTGGAGGGCCTGGAGAGTTTACTGATTTATGTTCAGAGGATGTTTTCTTTTTCTGTACAGAGTATCGTAGTTTTCTGGATCGCTTTCTTTTCTTTGGGTGAGTCTCATTTTCAGAGTTATCAAAGTTTTCAGGTTTACAAGGAAGAATACTTGGTTGTACAGTTTCTAGATTCATTGTTTCGTCAGAGGGGGATTGATTACTGACAAGTTTTGATTTCTCGATCAACTGTTTTCTTATTTGTGTTTGTAGCAATTTTGGAATGTTGTCGGGCAAATTCAGGGAGGATATGTCATCAGGAAGGAATTGCTCAGAAGGGTGACTTGAATCTATAGGTAAAATTTGATCTTTGCCTACAATACATTCAACTTCGTCAGTAATATTTTGTAGTTTTCTCTTTGTTCTTTTGTCAAGAACAATAGTTTTATCAGCCCTTGCGGAAGCAGTCGACTTTCTGGCAGTCGGTTTCCTAGTCTTTGATGTATCAGTAGTTTCATCTTCAACTTCATCGTTCCGATCGGAAGTGACACTAGAATTTGTATCCTCATTTTCTTTGCCCAGCGCTGACTTCATGTGACAATCTTTTAAGTCCTTGCAATCATTCTCCTCTTTAAGTCCTCCAACATCATTGAACCAAAATGACAATTCATTGTCTTTAAACTCTTTCTTCACATCGCTCTGTTTTGTCCTAGTTGCGCCTTCAGCGGAATCTTCAGCAAAATCGAAAATGTCATCGTCAGCTGGAAACGAAAGATCTATTCCATATCCTGCTTCAAGATAAATTCCATTGATGAAATTATCATCTTCCTCCGGGATCTGATCAAATTCATCACTGTCGTGATTCAGCATGGGATCCTGCTCTTCGCTTTTCTCAGTCTCATCACTTTCCCTTTCAATTGGTCGATTATCATCAGTTTCGGGTGGTTGATGATCAAGTAAAGTAAAAGGTTTCGTTTTCTTCTGTTTCCTTTTCGGATAAGATCGCCGTTCAATAGGAAGCTCTACCCTAGGCTCATAAGGTAAGTCATCGTTATCGATCCGGTAATACGGGTCATCTTCCTCGTCCGATTCATCAGAGTTACTTGGAGTCTTCCTAGAATAGCGTGTCGTGGAACGTATCCTATTCTTCAACCTTTTTCTCTTGCCGGTAGATGGCTTTTTTGGGTGTGTATGCATTGCATAAACAAACAGGGCAAACCTTAACTCTTCAAATGAAAAGTAATCGTCAAATATCACTGTAGGGTGGAAGTACTGGTCCCCGTTATCTGTTATATTTACTGATCCGAACCATTTCTTTGCCTGATCTGAGACTGGTGCCCTGACATTCTCAATAGTTTCTTTTCTGGCACTTTCACCTGAGTCGGGCTCTTCTACCATCATAGAATAGTTCGAAGAAGTCTCTGGTATTGTCAAACATGTCAGATTTTCCTTCTCAGTATTTAATTCTCCCCCATAAGTTCTATCAATAGATTCATTTCTACATTGATTGTATGTACCTATTGCAGAGTATTTACTATCCGAACTGTTGCCCGTAGGAAGCATATTAATATCGTGATTGAATCTTTGTTCCTCAAAAGACAAACTGTCATCCCTCCTGTCAGGGTCAACTTGGATGAGATTACAATTATTTTTATAAATTGTATTTTCTGATATAAGAGGACTTTGAAGCACTGGTTGCAACTGGATCAAATTCACGGGAATGATATGAACCAAAGTCAAAGGACTGTTTTGCTGACTATTTTCTTTTCCGACTGAAACAACCTCTGCTTGCTGCTTAAGCACGGGTTGTTGATGAGTATTGTTGATACGTATCGCTGACGGCGAAGGTTTGGGAGCAATAATGATATTTGGTGTACTACCAGCATTATGATCGGTGGATCTTTTTATCAGTTTAGCTTTTGTGTCTGACATTAACGTTCGAAATCGTTCTTGTGTCGCGGCCTTAATCATAACTTTCTTCCTCCGTTCGAGCTCTGAGATGTTGCCTTTATGTTGACATAACAATTGATCGCTAGAAAAATTGCAGTCTGGTATTTCACATTGGGTGCAGTAATGAGTTCTCAGACTAAAATGTCCGAAGAGATGGTCAAGCATAAGGGTATATCCTATCCGTTTTTTTCGTTTATTAAATGTATTATCGCAAAGCAAACAATATCGTTTTCTTATCATGTCCTGAAACATCAGCATTATATCCGGTTTCTTTGAAGTTGGAAGTTCATGAGGTTTCTGACTCAACTTTGGTAATGGATCTTTTTTTGGGCAATCCAACATATTAAATACTTTTTCGGATTGGTAAGAGGATTTTCTCTCCAATTCTATCATTTGTAGAGAAGATTGTTTGGCTTTAAATTCATCATTATGTCTCTTGATCTGCAATCCCTGTATGGTATTTGAGATAATCGTTGTGACAAGACCATCCGTTAAAGCAACCACATCCTTCACTGCAACATCTTTAATCTTCAGTGACGGCACTAAATCTGCCCAGAAATCATAGCACTCATCATGAAACGGGTCCTTGGGCAGTGGCTGACTAACTTTAGAAAATAGGGAGGGACTCTCTCTCAATCTAAAATACAACTCTCTGTATGGTCCACGGTTCCAAGTTTGTTTGTAGAACTGTCGGCCGGTACGGGAGTCTGGATGGTAGATAACTTGGTGGAAGATGATGTGAAACTTGCAGTTAGAAGTGTAGCGGCAGTCAGGACAAGTGAGTAGAGGAGGGTGGGTTCTGAAATTCAGGTGGTTCTGGTTAGTTCTGAATCAATTATATCCAAGTGAGCCATGTTAATAATACCTTAATAATACCTTATCGGACCTTATTTGGGCGGACATGATGTTACTTTGGGCGGACATGTTAGCTTTAATTTGAGCAGACATTACACGAGCGCTAAGCCCTCCAGCGCACAAGGAATGATCAACCAAATATAGTCTGATAAGGTATGTTGATGTATTTCAGATAGTAAATAATTTTAATACTTTTCAATACTCAAGCCTCTTATTAAGACTGGATTAATTTATTATAAATGGGATTTTCCAGCCAATAAAAACATATATTTCAGTGATACGGCCCATAATAACTTCACAAATTATGTAGGTTGTCCTATATTTGTTTGCTTAAATTTGCTTACTTTTTTCGATGAATGTTTAGAGTCATTGTGTTACGATATACACTAGGACAGTCTGCACATTTCAACCTGAAATTCAAAAAAATATTAAATCTTGATATAAATACAATTTACAGAATAAAGTTAAATTGAGAATATTAATCGATAATATTAAAACCCAATAATAATAAGTTTACGTTTTAAGAGGTTTCTGTTCCGCCACATGAACTATCAAAATGTGCTGGTTCAACTCTGAGTGTTTTAATGTCTTGAACTCACACAGCACACAACTGACCGGATTATCTTCTGCAAATGTAAAACGTTGGTTATTGAATACCATTCCTGGTAAAGTACTACAATTTGTCAAATTATTTTAAAAGTAAATCGAACAGAGGGTCGAATTTGACATCAAAACTTTTTTATTGTGATTTTCATAGCTCCCTCCATAATCCATATCGCTCACATTTCACAACTGTTATAAAAATGACATCTAGGATAAGAGAGAATTAATTTCTAGACGTTCCTCATAATCTATTGAAAGACGTGGAAAAAGAAGCTATGAAAATTCCAGCCAAGAAAACGGATTAATTTTCGAATGAATTTAAGTTCGTTCTAATTGAATAGATTGAAATATTCAATTAAAATATGATATTGACTATCAACCATTCTAAAACCCCCATATCCACATAATTAAAAATTTCCTCCCAAACCCATTTTCAGACCCTTCTGTGGCCCGCTCGCTTCGCTCGCAGCGGCTAAGTTACTTTCCCAACAGGGATGTGCGCAGGATATTTAAAAGGGGTGGGCGAGGAGTCGGCGCGAAGCGCCAGCTCCGAGGCTACTGCAGCAGGGGCTCGGGGGCGCAGCCCCTGGAAAATTTTAACTGGATTATATGCTAATTGCTAAACCAATAGGATATCAATACAGAAGGTTCAAAACAGTTGATTAGACACTTGGTTATTAGTAATATTTTAAGGGGGCAGGGGGCGCAGCATCCGGAAAATTTTTAACTGGATTATATGATAGACCAATAGGATATCAATAGAGAAGGTTCAAAGTAGTTGATTAGACACTCGATAATATTTTGGATTCAAAACATTGGACAAATTAAAATTAAAGATGGCACGAATTTTAAGTCATTTAGAGAGGAAAAATTTCCTTTCGATACCCAATGATTGAACTGCTGTTTGTGGACTGAAATTGTCAGTCGCTAACCAAGAAATTTCCTCTCAGATGCCAAAAATTTCCTCATTCTTCCCAAATTTCCTCCCAGATATCTGTTGGGTTTTCCAACTTTGTGGATATGGGCTAAAACCACGTTGATGAAAGATATTTAGTCCTACGTAATGATTCACAACTGTTTAATAATCTTACCAGTTCTAGGTGTCTTATCAGTTTTACTCTCTCATCAGAACTCCAGGCCTGCAAAGCTTTGTGAACATCTGCATATTCCTCAGGTTTCTTATCCTTGTGATAGTAATGTAACACCAGCATGGTCGGTGTCAAGTCTGATGTATATTTATGTGAAGTTTTTCTTAGTTTTTCTTTGCTTTTATCCGGTTTTCCTTGTTCAGGGGTTGAATCAGATGTACGTTCAGCTGCAATTACAAGGCTAGATTTTTGAACAGCAGCCGGGATGGAGTCAGCAAGAGCCTGAGTTTCAGTACTTGTCTGACTACTACTTGTTTCTTTACACAATATCTCCTTTAATTTAACAGGTTCAGAATTGACTGGTAAATTTTCCAATGTGTTTACATTGCTCTGAGCCCGTATTTCTGATTCAACTGCAGCACAGTGACCATTTTCTGTAGCCTCGCCAATACCATCTGATTTAATTGTATCTTCATCTTGATCAGAGGATGACTGATCAAGTGATGATATGTCCTGGTCATTAATCAAAGAGGCTAAACATGAAGGTGCAGCACTGTTTTGAACCTGACCCAATCCAACTGGATCAGCTGTGCCCTTCCTATCAAGGTCTAGAATTGAAAAAGTGTCTGATGGGTTTTTAAAAGACTTCTGCTCTGATGAGATGATATTACATGTTTTATCTGTTGTCGATTTATCTGATTGAGTAGGATCACCCTCGAATTCATGTATCAATAGACTCCCATTTGTCTGCTCTGTATCTAAAGCCGAAGTGGACTTTTGAATAGCTAGTGCTCCATCATTTTCTGAGTTCATGTTTTCTGGATTATTGACAAGCTCAGTGGCATGTTTTATAATATTGAACATTGACATATTTCCTCTGATAGCTTTAACTATATCATATTCACCACCATCACTTCCGGTCTTCTTCCACAGACAGTTACATCCTGTTGAAATATATGGTATTCAATGCTGCTATTTTTATATTTGTACATTTTATGAAAAATGAATTAAGTATGAGAAAAGGAAAATTATTAGAGATATAAGTTTTGCTGTTGACTTGGTGTAGTCGTGAGAATCGAAATTTCGATTAAATTTTGAAGAATTGAGACACATAACCAACAACTTCAAGCCCCCTTTGCAAAAAATACTGAGGTTTTTTAAAAAATGTAAGCGAGCAGAAGGACAGGCTTTTCAAACAATTCGTCAAATTTCCATCTAAGGAGGAGTATGAGGATCTTCTGTGTCTTTTCCGTCCACACTGTCGCAACAGGAAAATCTCTTTGACACTGACTATGCTGATGATGTGACCACAATACAAAGGGGTTGCAGGAAACCCTTGAACTTCTCTGCAAATACAGTGCCCTACACTCCTACAGTGCAGTGTCAACTTGTTTGGGTGCCATTATCAGTGCAAATGGAAAAATTTTTGTTTCTTTTGAAAAGTTAGCGAACTTATACTTTAAAGAGAGGATGATATGATTTTACCGAAAATTCCAAAATATCTTGTTGTTTGACTATCATATCAGTGGCGAAAGCACATAGTAAGGTGAACGATGCACTAAGTGGGCCGCGTGCATCAAATAATTTGTCTCGCAACCACTTTTTTTCGGTTAGGGCCATCTTTGCTATATAATAACAAGAGCCCTCTCGCTTGCAGTACGCGTATACACATGGCTATGTGACGGGCCATCTACTTATGACGTCCAGCAAATAGGAAGGGGGGGGTGGTTTTGAAATTTCGGACAAATTCGGACAGGGGGAGGGAGGTGGTTTCTGAAAATCTGGACGTCCGGAAATTTGTTAATGAACAATTTTTATTTATTTCAACTCTTTCAATTTTATTTCAACTCTTTGAATTTTATTAATAATTTGATAATTCACAATATCAATCCTTCGCAGCTCGGTGAGGCCCCCAGTGGTGCATTTTACCGATCTACCGAAGTGGTTGCGAGAACAGAGAATAATTATTTGATTTAATTGACGATGTCAATTCATGGCAGCTCGGCGCGGCACAGTAGCGCATCTCGCCGATCTAGCCTTGAGAAGCCTTATTAAGTGCGCGGCGCGGCACAGTAACGCATCGCGCTACAAAACATCGCGCTACAACATACAAATTAACAATGAATTTGAGTTGGTTTTATTTCATATTTGTACACTTATAAGTAGCTGGAAATCCGGACGAGGGGTGTTTTTGAAAATTTGGACACACCCGGATAGGACAGGGGGAGGGGGTCTGAAAATCTGCGATTTTGGCGGGCGTCATAACACCTAAGTGGCCCCTTAGGCATTAGGTAGATCGGTGACATGCACCACTGGGCCTCGACGAGCTGTGAAGGATTGACATCGTGAATTAACGATTTGATATGCTTGGTTAACATTGCATTCAGAGGACGTTTCCGCTTCGTCGCGCATTATCATTCTTGCTTCGGTACGTGAAGATCGTTCCAATACAAAGAAGTTATGTTCAATGTTATTAGCTTAAAAGTTCTTGTCTTGGTGCCCACGCGGCACTAGATTGTGAATGGGATCCACGTGAGCACATGGTCGTATGTGCTTATTTCCCAATCCAGAATGCATTAAATTTATTACTGAAATCGAAGATTTATGCATCTAGAAACTTTAGTCCATAAACAGATTTAAATTCCGAGGGCCCATGTCATGCTTGAAGTGATAAACAAAATATATAGCCGGTAATCCTCTGAATTTCCACTTCTAGTATGATCCAAATTCGGGGAAATAAGAGAACTGGCGGTTTAGCGTGCTGATAATCAAGACAAGGAAGACAAGAATGTGAAATTCATAAAAAGTTCGGACAAATTAGACAATCTCAAGTCTTCTGATAGCAGTGTTAAGCAGTAGCGTTCCCGAACATTATCAATTCGTCGTTATCTGTATATGAACAGCGAGAGTAGTGAGAAGTCGGGGTGACAATCTATTTGGATCTGGCTCTCATCTTCTTCCTCTTACGCTTCAGTCTCCTCATACGCTTCTTCTTCCACTTATCTCTCATTGCTATAAAAAGTTAAGAATTCAAAATGTGTAATATTATACCGTAAATATAATATTCAGAAAATGATGTAATATAGCACGCGCGCATTAAAAATTTGATACGGTTTTTGCCGTATGACCGATCATTTCTATAACAAAATAGTGCCGCGCCGTACAGAAATGTTGATAAACTCAAGGACTGCCCCAATATGGCGGGCTATAATTGTTGTTCGTAAAATATCAACAAAGAAGCAAATAAAACCCAGAATTGATAAATTAAAAACTATCTAAGAATGTCCATCATCAAGAGTCCGGATCATCTAAGCCTCCTAGCTTCTCTCTCTGACTCGAGCAGTGTGAGGATGTCACCCTCCCTTACTGGTCCCTTCACATTTCGGATGATGCTTCTTGTGTTATCGTCCAAGAACTCAACTTTGACCTGTGACAAATGAAACGTTTAGCAACAAATTGCTCAGTTGGACAGGGGTGAGCCATGTATATATATATATATTGGTAATGTATGTGGTCTATAATAGATTCTTAGCAACAAAAACTCTTCAAAGAAGAATCCGATAAGGTAGACTTTTTAATTTGAAATGATATTTTAAGAGATGTCATCACGACCAATTGTTGGAACACCACTGTTGGGGGGTGTAACCCAAAAAAACCCAATCCCAGTATTACCTTTTTCAGGGTAGGAGTTGGGTTTTTTTGGGGTTTTTTGGGTTTTTTACAAATTTTTCATTTGAAGGAAATAAAATCATGTAGGCACCTAGCAAAACAATTATCAGTACAACATCACTGTTGTGGTTCATCACTACAACATCACAATAGATATAATCGCTTAAATATCACCCAAAAACAGTATTTTATTCACTGATGTGCTCAGAAGAAGTTGGCCATCCAGATATGATATATCAGCCATATGTAATGCTCACTTCGATGGCCATGGCAAATTGAGTTAGTAGGGACGCAACTCACTGATGACCCCAACCCTGACCGCAACCGGTACGAGAGGAATAAAGCCTTTCTTCTCACCTTCACGATCTCTGTTTCCGTTTTCCTGATCATCCGCTTAACGAGAAACCATGCTCTATCTCCAACTGAAAGAATCTTGCAGTTACCATCAGCTGCATGATCACATGTGATATTAAGTGATATCTCGCTTGTTTATGGCCCTGTAGTCGCTAAAATCTTGACTGGGATGGCATTCGATCTCGCCCTCCATTGAGGCAAACCTTAACAGCCTTATCATGATGCAGAGCATCACAATACACAGTTACTATTTTCGCCCATTCCTCTGATGAGTCAATATCCTCCACGACCACTTCCTCTTCTTCGTCATCTGTTTCCGCTTCGTCACTCTCTGCTCCGTCAGAAGATGGTTGGAAAGCCTCTCCTTCAAGTTACAGTGTTCTTGAAGGAGTTCTCTACCCTTGAGACTCCCTTCTTCATAGCTTGTAACAATCTTGGGATTGACGTATCTTTACCTCTAAATGGTATCTGCTTTCGGATGCGGTATAACAAGCTTGTTGCGAGAGTGGGCAACTGTTACAGGGATCAAACTTTTGCCGAGTGCATCAAGCTCGAGGGAACGCGAACGGTTTGATTTGCCCATGCCAACCAACATATCCTTAGAACACAGATTAGTTCTAATGCCTGCATGGAGGCCTATGCGCAGGAAAGCATAAAGTTTGCTCGCAGGCATCGGATGTAAACAGCCAGGGCATTAAGTGTTGATAACTGTTGTCAGCTGTTACACTGAGAATGTACAGCATCAGACCCTCGACTGTAATAATCGCATCGTCAAAATTTTTACAAGTAGGCAGGTGGTCTTTCAATGGTTGTGCGAAGCTTAGGTGGCCCAAGGCGTCACCGCTGGATAGAAGCTGGGTGGAAGCCCTGGTCTGATGTGAGGCTCCCAGAACTTTGAAAAGGGGTATCCTGCTGGTGCCCTCTTCCAGACACTCATCGGACAGCATGACGAAAGCCACTACCTCCGCGTGCTGAAGACTGGATACTGGACAGGGGGTCCAGGCTAAAGGCAGGACGATCGACGGGAGACATTGAGCCCCGGAAGTTCAATAATTTGATCTATTGACTCCTTAAAGCCTTAACTCTTGGTCTACAAGAAGCTTTGAGACTCGTAAATCTTTACTGTGGATTGCACAGTAGCTAAAGAGGTGTTGGCTGTTACCCTGTTCAACCTAGTCTACTATGACCCAGCTAGACTGGACCACACTCTGGTAGTCAGGATACGGCTCCCTATGCCCGGGGTACCGGGTAACGAGGTAGTCAGGGGAAGGGTTAGTCCCCGCTAAAGTGTAGCTCTGTTCTCACTCTAACCTCCTTATGCTTTGGGATAAAATCGGAAAGGGGGGAATGCAACGTCAATTAATGTCAATTAATGTCAATTAATGTCAATTAATGTCAATTAATGTCAATGTCAGTTTTGCAAAATTTTGGAATACTGACATTAATTGACACGATATTTTTCGACCAGAGATTATGTAGTTCTACCATATTTTTAGCACTTAAGAACGTTTATATCATCAATTTATTCACTACTATCACATATGCTATGGAAATGTGAAATGTGATTTCAGATCATTAAACAATTAAACTAAAATAATACGGTTTTCCGAAATTTAATTTTCTTAAATAGGCGTGGCCATCCAAGGGCGTGGTTCTCAACATCATCAGAACTTAAAACCCACATTAAACGAAATGCCTTCATGACATTTATATTTGAATAACGAATCTTAAACAGCTAACATTACTCCTTCATACTAAAAAAGCCGATTCTAGATATTTTACCTGTATAAGAAACCAATAAAATATGGGCGTGGCCGGTTGGGACCGAAGATGGAAGAGTTGGAAGCTGAAATTTTTTTTGTGGTCTATAAACCTAAGGATCAACAGATAAGCACATACTCATAATTATTCAAGGACATTTGTTTTTTTGAACCGGTCTAACTTACGTAGACGTGAATATCTTGAATATTTATCGAATAATGATAATCTCAAATTTCAAGACAAATTAATGTCAATTAATGTCAATTAATGTCAATTAATGTCAATTAATGTCAATTAATGTCAATTAATGTCAATTAATGTCAATTAATGTCAATTAATGTCAATTAATGTCAATTAATGTCAATTAATGTCAATGTCAGTTTGGGGTTTTTATGGAATACTGACATTAATTGACGTTGCATTCCCCCCATCGGAAAGTCCCACACTGGAGCAGGTGACGATTCACGATTGGGTAAGGATTACAACTGATGCTGTTGGGTAGAAAAAGGAAGTGTCACATTTGTCTTGTATAGCATATTATGTTCGTGCAATTACATGCTCAAGATACCCAAGATAGTATGGTGAGAGTTAAAGATGGCTATTGTTCAAGCAGATGCCCTTAACCTTTTAGTGGTGCAAGAGTTAAGAACACAATCCACTGCCAATGTGCAGGGGACTGCACAGGATTGTGAGCCAACTGAAAAGTCAAGATGAAGTTTATCAACAGCTTAAGGGTTAAAGCCCCTATTTTTCTAGTGGAAGTGGTTGCCGGGGTAATTACGCTGCTATTACAGAAGCTGATGACTCGGTCTCCACATCACGACAACCTATTTCTACAGAAAGTCAAACAAGAAAACATCAAAAAAATATGAACATCAATTGTATTGTATCATGTAAAAGGACTGCTAAGGTTGGCACATTTAACATAAGAACAGCCAGAGAACAGCACAAAGGCATCGAACTTGCAGAACTATTTTCTCGAAGCAAGCTGCACATCCTTGGCCTGCAAGAATCGAACATCGGGTAGTGCATGCTGATTGCTGAGAATACCAGAATAGAAAAGATGAACAAAGGGATTCATCCAGTGATATCATCTACGTGGAGAAACGCAGCTGGCGCTACAGTCCTACAGAAGCCTCATCTGATGAGGAGGCATGAAATCTTTTTTGTCTAAAACCAAGCATCTTACAGTTAATTTAGTAGGAGAGGAGCCACACACAATAATTTCTAAGGACGGACATGCCTTAGAAGTTGAGGATTTTAGTACAACGGAGCACGACTTTAGGTTACGCAAGGCCAAGGCATGGGCTGCCTACCACAAAATGTAGGCTATATGGAGGTCCAATTTGCGCCGAGATTTAAAGATCCGTCTGTTCAAGCTACGGTTGAATCAATCTTCCTGTATGGAACGAAAACGTGGACAATAACAGAATCTTTGAAGAAAAGAATAGACGGATGTTACAGTAGAATGCTTCGGATGGCCCTAAACGTGGACTGGAGAGGACATCGCACCAACAAGGAGGTCTTTGGATCACTCCCAAGAGTTATTTCGAAGATACAGGCCAGAAGAATGAGGTTGGCTGGGCACATCCAGCGACATGATGACCTGGCAGCACACCAACTTCTCCTTTGGGAACCTAGGGAGGGGCTCCGTCGATAACCTAATAAGTGACACTGGACTCAAGAACACTGGGGAGATTAAGGAGCTTATGGCGGACAGAAAGCTTTGGAGACACATCATCGAGACTCGGACTCTGAAGCCGCCTTAAGTCAAGTAATTTAAGTCATGTGCTTTGACTTGCCCTTGACCTTCGTCATAGCCTCCTTTCATGACAGGAGAACACATTTGCCATGTTTGGCACATTTCCACTTTGTGCATTCATATGGATTATATCTTGATGAACGAGACATCCTGTTTGCTATCGTGATAATATACTATATCAATATAAACACACTTATATACTATGTAAACTATCTATTAAGTTAAGACATGAGAACAACACGTAGGTAAGACTTAGTGGGGAATAATTCACATTCAATACAATTAATGAAATGGCTAGAATTTTGTTAAAATTTTGTTAAAAAACCCAAAAAAAACCCAAAAAAAACCCAATCCCAGTATTACCTTTTCTTGGGTAGGAGTTGGGTTTTTTTGGGTTACACCCCCCCCCCACTGTTACTAGTGTACTGAGTAACATGAGAACATTACATACCTGAGTACATTGTCCTGTGATCCAGTCCTTCCAAGAATCTTGGTTACTTTAGCCAGCTTCTTCTGGGTCTCATCCATGACTACTACAATTGGGACAGATTAGTAAATACAACTTGGAATTCAAACTCAAATTTAAACCAAATAATTTTAGATTTTACATACAATAAGTACGCGATATTCTAGCTATCAGAAAAACTGTTTTAGAATATTTTTATAAATAAAACACAAGGTTTTTGTTTACTGAATAAGTTCGGAATTTATTAAGTCATCACTCTACGATTTTGATTAAATGCATTAAATACTAAATAAGCATGCTTCATGCAAAACAACTTGAAAAGTTGCTCAATTGTGTGATTTCATTAATTTGTTTAATTTTAAAATAATTTATTTCGTAAAAACTGTCGTGGAAAAATCAAACTTAACACGCGTAAGAAAGTACTGCCTTGAAAAATAACGAAATACAAATTGCTATATACAAAATCTAGTCCAAATTATAGTATTAAAAAGTATTAAATTTTTAAAAAGATTGAGAAATATTATCATCTAGAACATTCGCTACATCAACGACCAGAATCATATCCAGGAAAGATATCGAGTAGAACTGTCTGCAGATTCTTGTTCACTTTCATCGAGTAACTTTTACCGAGATCATACCTACAGTTGGGACAAGAATAAACCTCCGCTTTGAAAGACCTGTTCACACACTTGATACACATGTTGTGAGAACAAGGCGTGGTCACAGGGTCCTTAACAAGGTCCGTGCAGATGATACAAGAAAACTTATCAGTCACTCGATCGTGCCAGTTTGACGTATCCGAGAGAAGTTCATCCCAATGTTTCTTGTTTTCTGTGTCTGATTTTAGGAGATTTTTCAGCTCAGCACTGATATCATTGTTTGGTTTTTTGTTTGATGACACTTCCAACGCAGCACTGTTTCTTTTCCTCTTCTTGTTATTAGATTTGGGGTTGTTTTCTTTGTTTTCCTGTTTCTCAAGGTACCCCTCGGGGTAAACAATTTTAAGACCGTGTTTCTTGGTCATATCTTGTCCCTCTTTAGTCCAGGGAGCCGGGGAAGAGTCGTCCCTTCTCAACAAATACCTCCACACCAAAAACCCACTCTGTCCTTTCTCGGGCCAGTACTTGACAAGCTTGTAAATACCATCGTACCTGTTCCCTTCTTTAGGAGCATACTTGGAATGCTTTGCAAGTTTACAATTTCTCACTACACGTATCTGCCTACCCTTTTTCCATTCTGAAGCCTCAGCTCCCTTCTTGACATCCAGCGGCGCTGCGCAACAGCGAGCAAGCGCTAAGTTCATCTTGGTGAGTTTCTGATCGCAGCTCTGCTCAGCAGTGCGCTTGTTCCCAGACAGATCCCTCCCACCAGAGCCAGTATATTTGAACTCCTCCCCGTAATCCTTATCATCTTCATAACCCCCTGATAACACAATAGAATACGCTCCATCGTTCTCTCGACCATGTATCCCGGCTACGTGGGGCCGGTGTATTCCTACCTCTGAAACTTGTAGTCTGTATTTCCACATGGAACCTACTAGAATCCCAGGCACTGGTCCCACATGGTCCTGGGGAACTATAGTACATACCTTAGTTCTACCCTGACATGCCATCCCTTTACCCCAATCTCTAGCAGAGTTAGAGGTCGGAGCACGCGACTTCTTCTTAGTTTTCAGGCCCTCTCCAGCCTGCACGATCTCACTAACATCGTTCTTACAATTACTACAATACCAGTCTTCCTCAGCAGGAACAGCTTCTAGGGGCGGGTCTAAGCAGTAGAGATGGAACGCACAGTCGCACTCATCACACAGGAGGATCTGCCCTGGGTTATCCTTGTTTCCGCACACACTGCACGCACAATACTTACACTTCCGCTTCTTGTTATCTCCACAGTGTGTGCATTGTGGTGCAGACTGCCGTTTAGCAATGTTGGTGATCACTGTTTCCAACACATCCTTCTCTTCTCGTATCTCTATCCTGAAGATATCATCTACGAAAGTGAGGTCGACATCAGTAGGAACAGATCCCAATATAACCCTGGCAGTGACACTGTACTTTCCTCTTTTCTTCACAACACTCCTGATCTCCCCATCGTACCAGAACCCCCTCTCTTCCGGGTTATCCAGATTAAAGTTCACCATACACTTCATATCTGGTTTGAGTTCAGACAGAGGGTAAACGTAGTGTGCACGTGGTCTTATCTCAACAGGTTTAACATTCATGTTATCACATTCCTCGTACCCATCTAACCGTATCACATAGTACACCTGCTCAACTGTTCCAGAGTCTGTGTTCCTAGTTTCTCTGTAGCACTTCTTAACAACCCCCTCGAACCACGCCCCCGTTTCTGTGTCCAACACGTCAACTTCCTCTCCTGGAGCAAACAATCCGGAACAATCTTCTGACACTGTTTCTGTGGTGTTCGTGTCGGTGGTGGTATCTGTGTCGGGCTGTTCCGCTGTAGTCTTCACTATCATTAGCTGGATTGTGTCGTTGATGGCTACGTCATAATCAAATAAAGTGTGCTGGTCCACTAGAAGTTTCCCACGGTAGAACAGTTTTTGTTGAAGAGGGGAGACGTCGAATTTTTCTTGGATTTTCTGACGGAGATGTCGATTGTGGTCAGCTTGCTTAGTCCATCGAATCTTTCTGATTTTGTGCCGCAGAATGTACGCACATTAATCCACATTCCTGGAGCGAAATATCAATTATCTGTGATGTCCTCAAATTTAATTACATTAAAAATTGATGGTTAGTTATGGGATTTAATTATCTAATTATGACTCTAAGCGTTAAGACAGGTTAATTAATTAATTGTTAATTGAATGTCACTTAACTACAAAACAATTAAATCAAGCTTGTTGTGAGATGGAAGGTTTAGTTATCTTGATTGCACAACATGAACATCGAACAAAGATTTGTTTAAAAGAATAATTATCAATAACTTAACAAACACGTACATATTATCTTTTAATTACATAAAAATCACTTCAATCACAGAACATTAACAGAATAAATAACTGCCCGTCTTTATACATTCTGGACTCAAAAGCTGTGCAGTCCGAATAAAACTATAAAAATTTCAAACTCAAAATGAAGGGTCACAATCTGACCGGTTTAAAGAAATCACCTCACGGAGGAATGTTCACCTTCAGGTTTCTACCAGAGATTTGCTCATGTAAGGTCCATCTAGCTCGTATCCTAGCTTCCTGTAGTACCCCCTGGTCCCTACACCACTGATGACCGCTAGTTTAACAGAACCGTGTTCTTCACGTGCAATGCGCTCCGCTTCCTCCATCAGCAGTGTACCAAAACCTTGGTGTTGGAACTTACGAGGGTCCCTCCCAGACACTGGCACAACACTACCGTACACGTGTAGTTCCCGAACCACTGACGCGCGGTCCACTAACTCAGGACGGAACGCAACTGACGACACCTTACGGAGTCGCAGGAGTCCTATCAAAATGTCTTGTTCTGGATCTTCATACGACAAGAAAGTCTCCCAGCCACCGTTAGCAACATAGTCCCTTCTGATCAGTTCCACCTGATACGGCCTCACTTTATTGTGGATCTCCTGGATCCCCACCTCACGTGTTCTAACGTCACGGCACGTGGTTCCCAGGTCCTTCATACGAGCCAGGGCCAGTTCTCTTAAGTTACCGTGTTCTACCCCGGAGCTGACTAAAGGCATGGGAATGTCTCTCTGTACCCTGTAAACCCTAGTCCACGGTGGAACCAGCGCCAGGATCCTGGCCACTAGATCTATCAACAAGTGAGGTGGATAACTCCTGTATCTCCCTGTTTTCCACAGCTCATACAGTCCTGTTCCTCTGATCACTAGAGTAGGGTAGATCTTCAGTCCGTCCGGTCTAAAGAGAGGGTTCTCAAATATCTCCTTGAACTGCTCGATGTCACGTTCAAAACCAACGTTAGGAAGATCCGGCATCATGTGGGTAACCACTTTAAACCCGGCATCTTTAGACATGTGGAATGACTCGCAACTTGCTCGGGCTGTGTGACCTGGGGAGAGAGAGAGAGGGTGAAGTTATCTGGGAGGTAATTTGATAGTTGTTTTGATAACCCTAGTTACAGCAGCTGCTACTACTGCTGCTAGCTGCAGGATTGCAGAGATATTCACAGGAACAATGACAGATAATATAATCACTGCTGGTTGCCAGGCCTCCACTGCTGGTTTACAGGCGTAGTATATATACTGTGCTACTGCTATATACTGTGTATTTTACACTTAGTTAAAAGACCATTAAAAGATATACTGATATTAGATGGATGTTATATTAATTTACCTAATTGCACGACTAGGTGTTCTGGCAATCGGCCAAGCCCAAGCATTTTTCCAAGCAATTTATGTCTAAAATAAATTCCGAAACAAATGCTACAATCTTTCAGTTTCGACACTTTTAAATGTCGTTTTCCCTTTTTATGAAACAGACCCTATCTCTAGCTACTAACCTCTATTAGTATCTCTAGCTACATCTTCGTACACACTCTGCACACCAATCTCCAGTCTGGTGCACCCATACGACAACATGCTGCTCAGATGCTTCTTCAAACAGTAATCCGGCCTGGTCTCTATCGTTATCCCGATACACTTCGTGTTACTCTTCTCAGAGAACTTCACCGCTTCTGCCACGTTGGACGAGGTGTGACCGGACAGGGCGTCGTGTAAATTCCTGCGTGAACAAGGCACGTGACATTTATGTTATATTAAGTGTAATTAGGGTAATTTATGGCTAATTAGGGTAATTTATGGCTAATTACACGTCACATGTGAGGGCTCATTAGAGAGAGCACTGACAGAGACTGTTGAGATTTACACAATATCAGAGTTTTAGTTTTCAAGTGAGTAAACTGGTGACAGTATATAATGTAGCACTTTTTAGCGTGTAACATTTCTAATCAAATTAGACAATATCAGGAGTCTTCTTGTGTAGTACTAGTACTATAAGATAGTACTAGTACTACACTAATATATATATATATATAATTATATAATAATATATTATATAATAATGCCCACCTGATAAAGTAGTCTCTGTAAGTGTCCGGCAGGGACATGAAAGTCCCTCCCATCACAATAAACTCCACCTTGTCCACACTGTGTCCCAACTGTTTCAGCTGCTCCACTCGGTGCCGTGTCTGCAGGTAGGGATTGTACCGTGCGCGGATTGCGCGCATTGACGTGGGTTCGTAGCCGGTGTAGGACTGGGTGCTGTACTCAAAGTCTGAGTCAGGACCTCCGGGACAGTACACACAGATGTTACCTGGGAGACGGTGGGTTTAGACAGTTAACGTTACATTGTATTGTATTTCAGATTGTGTGGTTTGAATTAAGGTCCACTTTTTATCAAATTGTATGGAAAGTACAATAAATAAAAAAATCGAAGTTCAAAAGTATTGTACTACATTTTGTTTGTACAACATTTTAGATCGAGTATCTCTGTTCTAACCAGTAAAAGTGATGTGAGGGCACCGATGTGGTTTGCACATGACCGCAACAACAGCTATCCCAGATGCTGTCCTAACAGGCTTAGCTCTCAGTTTCGGGAGTAATATTTTCCTGTACTCTTGTGGAACTGCGGAGATGATATCCACCAGCCTAGGCTGAGCGGGACAGCCATGTTTACTGGCGATCCGACATTTCAGCTTGTTTAGATTAACATCTTTCTTGGATTTGTGAGCACTGATCAGCTCTTTGATGATGTCAGAGACGGTTAGGAGAAGCAGCTCCTGAGGCGAGGCCGAGGGGGCCGCACGTTTCTTCTGTTTCGCCATGTCACAATTTCATATCTGTTAAAAAGTCATGTACGTTAATGCTAAGTCATACTTGTTATATAGTTGTTAAGCATGGCAATTTAGTAGAATCGCACTCTTTACTCGTATGTTAATGATCTGTGCAGTAGTTTTACAACAGATCTGATACGAAACTTGGTTTCATGCAATAAAAGTCTTGGAGCGTGTTTTTGCAATTTTGTATAATGTTACCACAAATAAACATGTTTTAAAGTGCAATGGGCACGAGTCAGATAAGTAAATGTATACTTATATAATATAATCTTCAAATATAAAGAATGGTATAAATTTTCTCATGTATAATAAATAGTAATAATAAGGCAATAATACGTTGGATGAATAATTCAAGTAAAAATTGAATAAATAAGAATGATTTTACGACAACGTGGTAAGTTCATTAAATTGCAAATGGCTGGCCAGCATGCCCATAAATGCTTCTCTCATTCTGCTTCTCATTTATAAGACCCCACAGTCAGCGATGGAGACAGGCTTTGACGTTGCTCCTGAACGAGAGCCTACATTTTCCATAGCCTTGACAACATCCATTCCTCCGGTAACATTTCCGAACACTACATGTTTGCCTGAAAAGTAAGGGATATAGTTAGTTCACTGCAGTATTAGTTTACTTCAGTGTTCAGAGATGAACTGGAGAAGTAATATTTATCGCAAAGTTCTAAATCTCCCCTCTCTCCCTCTCTCCCTCTCTCTCCCTCTCTCTCCCACCCTCTCCCCCTCTCCCCTCCCATTTCGGGTGTAACAAATCATAACTCGCACCCCAAATAACTACCCTTAGATTCATACAAGCGTACAAATCAGAAGCGTACAAATGAAGCGAAAAATGAAGCGAAAAATACCAACTGTCAATTATTGCATCATTTCTTATACCTAATTTCCCAAACACGTGATCTGATTACTTACCATCAAGCCAGTCAGTCTTGACAGTGCACAGGAAGAATTGAGAGCCGTTGGTTCCGGGTCCGGCATTGGCCATGGAGAGGACACCAGCTCCGGTATGCTTCAGGGTAAAGTTCTCATCCTCGAACTTGTTGCCGTAGATGGACTTGCCTCCGGTACCGTTTCCTTTAGTGAAATCACCTGGACAAAATGTTATTTTACCCATCGAGTATTAAAGTGTATAATGTATCAGACTGCGAAAGTCTGTTCCTGTTAAATTAGGAGGAAGTTTTTTTGTTTAATATTTTAAAATTTTTGTCTAGGACGAGGAAGTTTTGATTTCATGAAATTAGACAAGAATTCAGTTCAGTCCAAGTACTTGTCGTTTATGGTATTAACGAATGACAGTTTTAAATCTTTCAGCGGTGATTAGTTGTAAGTCTACATTATTAACAACAATACCAACACGTGACAACATCTTACATACCTAACATACCAACATCTTACATACCTCCTTGACACATGAAGTTGTCGATGACTCTGTGGAAAGCAGATCCCTTGTACCCAAATCCTTTCTCTCCTGTGCAAAGAGCTCTGAAGTTCTCAGCTGTTTTTGGGACAATATCCGCTCGCAAAGTCATTTCAATACGACCAGCGGGCTGACCACCGATGGTGATATCGAAGAAACATATTGGGTTGTTGGCCATGTCGAGAACTTGCTTGGCTAAAACAAGTTTTTGGTTCAAATATTATTATAGTTGCAAGAACAGAACTTACAAAATTCATTTCACATAGTGTTTTTAAAACGTTCATAAAGAAAAGGGATATATTTTACCCCTCAATAAAGGTTTGAACTAGTTTGTAGCTCAAAATGCAGCGTTCCTGGAGATTACTGGATTAAAATCGAGGATATTGTTCAGATAGAAGATCAATATGACCCCGATTGGGTTTCAATATTATTCTTTTGGCCCCTTGCCCTGCTCAATGCTCATCTATAAACACTTAACAGGGATAGGCCAACTGGAGGCAGTCTGTGGTGAACTGCTGTCTAGTAATTCTGTTTAGTTCTACGAACAATACTAATACCAAGGTAAAGGCACCAGTGCAGCAGGTTCGATCATCAACATTGCGATCAATAACTAAATATCTAGAATATGGGTGTGCTTAGGTTTAGCTAACACTGCAAATATTATTCCATCAATCTCTAATAAGTTCCAGTCAAGATGAGATAACCATTAAAACTCGTTCACGATTTCAACTTTTTGACATTTTTCGGAACACTCATTGAGAATATATAAGAAAATTTGAAAAGTAAGAGCGCAAAAACAGCCAGAAGAGAAGTGTGAAAAACAAATCTTGTGACGTCACAAAGTGCAACGACACCCATCAGCTGTCTGCGCAGTCACACATAAAAGAACACGATCACGAAGGAAAATCATAAAAAGATAAAGCATTATATTTTGAAATAAATGATTAGCAAAATAGATAAAAGGGCACTATTTATAAACAAACACTACAAAAGCGGGAGAATTTCCACCACCAAGCACAGCTCTGGGAGGATGTCCACCACCAAGCTTAGCTCTGGGAGGATGTCCACCACCAAGCACAGCTCTGGGAGGATGTCCACCACCAAGCATAGCTCTGTAGATAGATAATCCATATTAAGGGTCTGTCCAATAATAATCTACAATTGCCCGCAGTCTTCGATTTTGACAGGCTTCGATGTTTTTCCTGTCTTGGAACCGACTGCCTCGATGGCCCGGACGACTTCCATTCCCTTGGTTACATTTCCGAACACTACATGCTTACCTGAAAGGAAGAGAAAATATTTGTAATATGCTGAGTTTGAGACTGAGTAAAATTTTATGTATTTTATCTACTTCTGATTATTTTGAACTAAATGGCGGAAATCGATTATTTCCATTATAAACGGTGCAAATTGTTTTCGCCATTGCATTTGATTTTTGACCATCCGTTGAACTGTATTCATCATTCGATGCAAAATGTTTCCATTAAATTTAATTTTGGTGTAATTTTTAAGCGAATAAATAGCGAAGACATCACCTAGAACTACTTGTATTATTTTCACGGTTGAACTGGGTTTGAATCACTGGATTTTTATCTGTAGCAATACACCACAATTAATACAACTACTTACCATCAAGCCACTCAGTCTTGACAGTGCACAGGAAGAATTGAGAGCCGTTGGTGTTAGGTCCACAGTTAGCCATGGACAGGACACCAGGTCCGGTGTGCTTCAGGGTGAATTTCTCATCAGCAAACTTGTTTCCGTAGATAGATCTACCTCCGGTTCCGTCTCCTCTAGTGAAATCACCTGGACAGGAAATTGGTTGGATCAAATAATGTCTTCAAAGTTGCTGTACGGCAGTGTTAAACAAGTAACTGAAACCGAGGGGTTCCGTTCAGGCCCTTCACACTTTGTTTCTGTCTAGTTCTAATGTACCGTCACAATAGTGACTTTAATATAAAGATCTTGATTTTTCTTAAATAAAAGCAATATTTTAATTAACGTAACAAGAAACAAGGTTGTTAAACTTGTTCGAAACTAACCTCCTTGGCACATGAAACTGTCAATGACTCTGTGGAAAGCAGATCCCTTGTACCCAAATCCTTTCTCTCCTGTGCAAAGAGCTCTGAAGTTCTCAGCTGTTTTTGGGACAACATCTGCTTTCAGAGTCATCTCAATACGACCTGCGGGTTTACCACCGATCGACATGTCGAAGAAACACACTGGGTTAGCGGCCATGTTGGGAACTTGGCTAGGAAAAGATCTTGGTTTTACAACTTACAAAAATATCGAATATTTGTTAGCGTGTAATTTATATCACACATTCTCGCCATAAGTATTCTTCTTGACGACAAAAATTACAAAATTTCAGGTGGATTAATACCACAGTTCAATAACGACTACCAATAAGCACAGTTCTATTAAAAACATAGATTTACACATTATACAAAACCTTCCAAATATTTAAGCGGGGGTCAAAATTTGACTAAGGGAAACGGGTGGCTCTGAAAACAGGATTTATATTTAATCAAAAATTAAACTCTTGGTCACTTAGCTGAAATCTCAGCAGATTACCTCAGTCCAGTTCTTCCTCAAGCTCACCACAGTCCTCAATAACAACAGGTTTCATTGTTTTTCCCTGTCCAGTACCCACTGCCTCCATTTTTCTGACAACATCCAAACCTTCTGTCACATGCCCGAACACCACGTGGGCGCCGTTTAACCAGGATGTCACCTCCGTGCAGATAAAAAACTGAGAACCGTTCGTGTTTTTTCCAGCGTTAGCCATGGACAATATTCCAGGTTGAGTATGTTTAAGCTGGAAGTTTTCGTCCTTGAATTTGGGTCCGTAGATAGATTTGCCGCCGGTGCCGTTGTGGTTTGTAAAGTCTCCTCCTTGACACATAAAGCCGGGAATTATCCTGTGAAAGGAGCTGCCTTTGTACCCAAATCCATGATCTCCAGTGCAAAGGGCTCGGAAATTTTCTGCAGTTTTAGGGACGACGTCTTTTCGTAGTTCAAATACCACACGCCCTGCTCGCACTCCACCAATTGCAATGTCAAAGAAACATTTAGGATTCACCATCGCTTGACTTGTCTTCTTTTTTAAGAATAACAACTTTAAAATGTTATGTGATTATAGTGTCAGTGAATTAATAAACGTTCAGTCGTGCGTGCAAGTTAGAACTTAGACTGGTGCCTGGAAACAGTCAATTAACACAATATACTTTACAGTACATTGAACATAAAACGCATTCGGAGAGGATTATATAAATTATTATATAAATTGTTATTAAACAAAAATAAGACAACTTGGTCTCATTTGAAACAAGATTTGTAGCGTAAAAAATTATTTGAAATAGGAATTAAATTAAACTGTAACAATCAAAAGGCTGATTCTGCAAATAGATTCTCTAGCTTAACAAGAGCCAGAAATAGAACATGTATCAAGGTACAGCGTTAAAAACGATCGAAAAACTAAACTATACACACAACTGTTTGAAAAAAAGGTAGGAAAATTCAAGAAAAGTCATATTATTTCACCGCATGACCTTGGCAATGTTCTGAACCATGAACGTAGCCCGGTGGATCTGTCTGGCTGAACCACGCAGGGTGACCTTCCTGGACTCTCCATCAACGTCCTTGTCATTCTCGATGTTTATGTCACACTTGGTGTACTGGCGTATGTCCTTGATTCTGATTCCCTTGGGTCCAATTACTGTTGCTGTGTCTGAGTTGGAGATAAGAACTTCCTCTTCCTTGGGGGTTGGGTCCGTCTGAGGAATAAACAGGGATTAGTTGTTCGTCAATTTTATTGTAATTCTTTTTTGGTATATTGTTGGCAGTTTTTCAAACTTGAATGAATCTTTGGTTTCAAAGCAAAAAATGGAGAATACAACTACATGCGCAGTGCGAACGGAAATAACAAAGAACATTTGAGACTAACATTGAGGATATCAGTAAAGGGTATCATGGAGGAGATCCTGTCGAACAGTTCATTTACGTATTCGAAATCTTGACCGGGAGGAATGTTACCGGAGGAGACGGTGCCAGGAGTTGCCATGGTTACTGTGGTAACACCGTTTTTTCTGTCGCGGTTTATTTCTGAAGAAGATATTTTGTTAATTAATTTGTGAATTATACAAAATTTATCAGATGATACACTCTCCAATTCGAGGGTTTGAGAAAATGGGAGCACATAACTATTTAAGATTTTTTAAACTTCCATTAATTTTAGAACATTTGACTTACTTTCAGAGATAGCTTCATTGATCAATTGGAGAGCGTATTCTATATCTTTGGGTCGTCCAGAGATAGAGATTTTTCGTTCACCATTTTGAACTGTTTCGTCCTTAGCAATCTGAACATCAGCTCCCGATTGACGCCGTATTTTAGCAATCTGGGACCCTTTACTACCGATGACATGTTTAGTGTAACAGTCATCCACGTAAATATCCTTGACATCGCTCCTAATAGGAGATCTGTCTCTGTCATATCCCCGGTCTCTGCTCCTCTCCCTGCTGCTGTCGTTACGCGAGGCGCGCACGTTGCGATCACTGCTATGAGCTCGTGATCTGGGAGAATAGTTGTAGCTTTGTGGCATTGGGTCGTAGGAGGGTCGTTCATACCCACGATGGGGGTCTGAACCATAATCACGTCTGAGGGGCTGTTTGAAGTCATCTCTCCTTGTCTGCCCCTTGAATCTGAGGTAACCACCCCACTCTCCTGCTGTGTCTCCCAACATTTCACTAAATGGCATGTAATGCTGGTGGTCATGGTCGAGGGGGTGAGTTGCTAGGATCTCCATTGCTTGTTGGACTGCAAGCGCAACTGAGTCTTCAGATCCCTTGATCTCACATACTCTTTCTTCAGAAAAAGGAAGTCTGTCTTTGTAGATCTTAAACCGCTCACAACCAGTCTCCTGAAAGAACTTTATTGTAGAAAAAACACAAATTCGCATTTTTTAGCAAGCATTTTTTTAGTTCTACGGAACTTGTCCTTCACGCGGACGAAAAAAGAATTTTGGCAAAACTGTTGGGCACAATGTAACAGTTAAACACTAACCAGTCTGATTGTCTTCAATTTTTCTCCACCCTTGCCAACAATACGTCCGGCCTGTTGAGAGTTTACAAGCAGCAAAATCTCCCCACAGTGCTCTTCGGGAAGGGAATGGTCTTCTTTTAGAGCCTACAAAAAGGTTGTGTTAAATCTAACCCAATTTAATAAGACTTGTCGTTATGTTACTGATACAGTGGTTTGATTAACCGTTCTTTAGTTAAAAGTATTTGATTTAGAAAATAGGTTCGTTAGATCAACTACAACTAGGCTTACCTTGAAGATAGGCCGACATAGTTGTTTGATAATGATCGGGATATCGTCTAGCTCACATGTTATCAACACCAATCTATAATAGGGTTTCAGAATGTGAGTCACATGGTGAAGTCAATATTACTGAAAATGGTATCATAAAGTTCATATCGGGATCACAGCTCAGAAGGTAGAAAGAGTTTCGAATACATGGCAGAGAACAGAAACTGAACAGATCGAAACTTAAAGTGAAAGGAGAATACTTTACAGGGACCAACATTTAGAGAGATAACAGAGCAAACTTGAGGTTTAAATTACTTTGACTACAAGTTTAGTGGAATCTAGGTGAAGCGAAAATAATTGCCACAAGATATGACAGGATGAAATCCATGATCATAAATATTGGTCCCAGATGAGAAAAAAGTGATTACCGTTCGGAGGATTGAGGCATTTCGGGAACTCTGAGGTAAGCCTTGAGGGAGAAAATAGCTTTATTAGAACCTTGGAGAGAAGGAGAACAAAAAGTCTGAGAGTTTTATCTGAGAACATCAGTCGAAGATAAACAACTGATTAACAAATCCCCAAAACTACTTGCAGCTTTGCCAGAGATCATCGTAGAATGTGATGTAAAAAACATTAGAATCACAATTAAACCTTAATTACTTTTTTACTTTTGTCATCTTATTCCGTTAAATAAAACTGATCACCAATTCTCCATTTTACAGTCAATTAGGATCATTGTAAATAAGTAAGTTGCAATACAATATCTTACCCCTGGTTTGCATTTTTCTCTGATCTTTCGAATGAACTCTCCTTTCTGCCCTATTATAGATCCTGCTGACTGAGAAATACATTCATTTACACTTTTATGTTTTCTTATTTGAATAATGATTGAGTACATTCTATCGGAAGAAGGCAGATTCGATTGATGACTGGTTGAGGAAGGTGAATTAGACAATCAATGAAATGATTCAGAGACTAAGGTCACAGCTAATGACAGGCAGTTCTGACTGAGCACAAAAATCTCTCAAGAAATAATTTTATCAATTCTGTGCAAATGGGAAATACTTAAAAGAAGACTTTTTTAGTCATATATCATCAATATTATGAAATTACTTACATTGGCAGGGACCAAGAGCCGGAAAGTGGCTTTCACAATTACATCTGCTGCTGGTGAAGATTCTTCCATAGAGATATCTTCCATAATTTATCGAGGGTAACTTCCTATATAATTTATTGTTAGCATTTGAACAGGTAAAACGTGACAGCTTTCAAGAAAAGTATTTATTTAATATATTTTAAAATGGTCAGCGAACCTAATATTTAACTTAACAAAGGCCTTGTTTTACTAATGAAACAAGAAACTTAATTTTCAACCAATTTTAGAGTCAAAAAATGTATAACAATTCACTAAAACCAATACCCAGTTGGTGGAGGACATTTTGTCATATACTAAATGGGTAATATTACTCTTTTGACAGGTTTGTGTATATACAAGGCTGTGGGTGTTTCATTTAGTTTTTTTGATTGAAATAAATTTTCGTGCACATACAGAATGAATGGTTAATAATTTAATATATATGTAGACCAAGGTCTGTGCACGGGATGCTTCCTGGAAGAATCCAGTTCTTTTAGCGGGGCACCCTACCTAAAGCCAAATTGAGATATAATAATCATATTCCTAAGAAATAATCAGAAATCGAATACCAATCAAATAATATGATATATATGAGTAGTAACCATATTTACTATGCAAAATGCCCCAACCACATAGTGTAAATTTATATAGAATTCAAATTCCATATCATCATTAAACCTCAATACCTAGTCAATATAATAGCCCAAGCAAAATTAAATAACTTCTTATGTACCTTACTGTCATACTACAAATTAATTAAACATTTGAAATCTGTTGACCAGAGAATAAATTTCTAAGCCTAATGCAAGTGAAATAATTTAGATGCAATAATGAATGCCTAATGTGAGTATCATTTGTCAATGTCCTTGTAAAAAAGTCTGTACAAGAGATATGAGTAACTAATATAGAAGAAAAAACAGGAAGTTGTCGTCTGTTGTAAAATAAATAAAATATCTAGAATATAAATTAGAATATAAAATAACATTCAGTCAATGTGTCGTCAATAAACTGTACAATTATCAAATGTTAAAACTGGGTGATACAGTCACCAAAAATAAATACTAAGTATGATAAGTTAATAAATTAAATGTGGTCTATAAAACTACCACTAAGTATAATAGGTCAATAAATTAAAAGTGGTTTATAAAACTACCACTGTGGGAACCCCTTCTCCAGTTAAAACATGTCAGTCATGTGCAAAATCAATCAGAATGGTAAGGTGGTAGTAACGGGAGAGAGAGGTGCGAGAAAGAACTTAGTCAATACAGATAGTCTAGATTTGAACTTGGAGCCACAAGGCCAAGGGTGATTTTCATTTTACATTGATGTGATTTTCGTTTATATTATTTTATATTGGGTCATTGTGATATTGTGTGATATTATGTGTGGTTAGAAGGTAATAAAAAGTGATAGTAGTGAACTAGGCAACGATCAACTGTCAACCCAACAGAGGAACGATGTTCAATTCTTAAAGTAGAGTTTGAGACGACAACGCTGATTAAAGCACGTGGGGCGAGAAAATGTCCATATGGCAGCTTGGGACTGCAGCAAGCAAGAAACAGGTCAAAAATCGCGTCATTACACGATCCAGGCGTGATCTGCTACGAAGCACACTCAATGCACTGAGTGGAATAAGAGGAAGACAAACAGCCCAGCCTAGTGGACTGTATGACATATTCTGCAACCTCATTGCAAGAAAAAGGAAGGAAAGATACTGCGATGTAGTAAGACACGTGAGAACTAGGATAAGATTTGCAATGTTGAGAACAACTCTTATTGCTCTACGAGGGTACCGAGGAAAGAAGGTGGACACCAAACGTGAGATTCAGCTATCAGAAGTTTCATACAACCTCATCCCTGCCCCTATAATGGAGTAGATCATGTGTTTTGTTAAAATGTTTTTGAAAAAATTATTGGTAGCAATGAGTTGTGCTCTGCCAATTGCAACACTTAAAATTTTATTGTGCTCTACCAATTGCATCACTTGATTTAATTGAATGTATATATACTGTTATTCTGCAACCTCATACCTCAGAAGACGAGCTTTGTGTTATCCTAGATTTGTTGCTCTACGTGGGTACAGAGGAAAGAAGATGGACAGCAAACATGAGACCCCTCTATCATAAGTCTCATACAACCTCATCTCTGTACCTATGATGGAGTAAATTATGTTTTTCAAATTGTATGTAATCATCTTCATTTGAAGTGTCTGATGTGGTGATAAGTAGAATTGAAGGAGATAACTATTTAGAGAAAAAAAGTAAACATAATGATCATCTGTGGAAAAAGGCACCTTTACCCCACTTATATACTCAACAAATGGCGGATGGGGTCCACAAGCCACAAGATACCACAAGAGACTCGCTGAAAAACTATCCCAGAAGAGAGGAGAAGACTATGCGGCTATTATGTGTTACATGCGCACCAGGATTAGATTCTCAATCCTCAGGAGCACCCTGATAGCGGTCAGGGGTGAGAGAGGGAGACGGCAATCGTATACATTGCCAGTCAGTGTAACTTCGTTTAACTTGATGCCTGCCACCATGGACTATGAATGTTTCTAGACACTATCCTTTTGATATTGAGATATTGGTATCTCAGATCACGTGTACATCGTTCCTTTTTTTATGACACAGTAATTTATTGACACTCACAGCTATAATTTTAATCATTGAATCAGTATTTTTATCTATTAACTTATTACATATTTGTGCTCTGCTTTAGCATCACTTGACTATTAAAGTTCAGGCCATGACCTTATAGTCAGCCAATTGGCCATTGCTATATTATGTGTATATTGTTTGAATAATGATCATCTGTGGTTTCATCCCTATGTAGCAAAGAAAAAGTTTGTTAACCTGAACAAGGCCGTTCGGGTATAACTAAAAAAAAGGAAGCAACTCACGGTATCACTCTCATAAGAGACATGTTTCATCATTTACCGGAGTTGCAACCAAATATACACAATAAGGTTTGGTACTTTATCCGTACCTCCCCTTTCATAGAAATAATAGCAAAAATATACACCTATCTTTAAGAGATCAACATCTGATATAAAACATTCGATCAACCAAAATTAAAACAATTTTCCTGTTAATAATTTAACGGCACTCATAAGAGGTCATACTAGGTATAAGTCCAAATGCTGTGTCAGCAACCGTTTTTGTTACTTTCTTTTCTTCTTGACTCCTCACTCCATGAACTGATACCACTATGCTTTTAAGCATAGCAAAGCATATCTTGGTCCTGATGTAGTTGATAACATCTGTGTAGCTCTCCTTTCTCTTCTTTGATATCAATCTAGCAAGACGTTTGTGAAATCTGTCACATTCTGGTGCTGTAGTCCCTGCTGTAGAAAACACTAGAGGAATGAAAGACGCTCTTTCAGTGTTGATGACTCGTGAGTTATAACTTAGGTATAACTTGAATTATTAGGATATTTTAATGAATAGTTGTGATGATCTTATGTTTCATTATGTTTTGATTTGATTTTAATTCTATTTCAAAATTTTGTGTATATATGTATGTATATATATTTTGTTTGTTTCAAGTTTTTAAAAAAATAATGAACCATTTCCGTTACCTGTGTATTATGCTCTGCCAATTGCATCACTTGATTTAATTGAATGTATAGATTGTTTGAAAGACCTTTTATCTTTGTTGATGTGAATTTTCTAGATAATCTGGTTTAGTTTACATGTTGTATAAAATTTTACAGACGAAATGATCCCAGGGTGCAGGAGGACTACCAACCCACTGCTTTGGCGATTAGTTGATTAACCTGGCAGAAACCATTTTGTTCTACTTGCTGTGAGGTGTCTAAGCTACATAGGGGTTCCACTGTCCCACTGTCCCCTGTAAATGAACAAAACCAAGAGACAACAGACTAAAAAACTTGTAATGAAGATGATAATTAAAACAGAGGTCTCCATAAATTGGACAAAAGTCGAACTAGGGGCTGGTGATGGAATTGCTAAACTCATTGTCGAACTGGACAACATTGTAAGAAAGATGGCACCCGATCTCAATTGAAGGCAATGACTTAGAGAGAAACAGGGGATGGAGAAGATATAATATATATATCTGTTGTACCAACCCTTTGTAAAAAAGCTAGAGTAACTCCCATCCATAAGGCAGGAATGAAAGATGATCCTAATAATTACAGGCCAATATCCATCCTTCCACTTGTAGGAAAACTTATAGAATACTTTGTCGGCAAGCAACTCACTGATTACATGGAAGAGAACAAACTTTTCATCCGGCATCAATATGGCTTTCGGAAAAATCACTCCACAACTTATCTGATGTACGATCTGATGGACGAAATATATATGAGTAAATCTAAGTCTTATAAACCAGGAATCATCTTTCTTGATCTTAAGAAGGCCTTTGACACAGTGAATCATGAAATATTGCTTCAAAAATTGGCATATTATGGAATTGGTGGCATTGCTTTAACCTGGTTTAAGAACTTCTTATCTTGTAGATATCAATGCACTAGGATCAATGGCAATCTAAGCTCATTTTTAGAAGTTCTGAGTGGTGTACCACAAGGAAGCATCATTGGGCCTATATTATTTAGTATCTTCATAAATGACATAATTTATGCCTGTAACCTATCTAAGCCCTTTCTATTTGCAGATGATGGTGCACTATTCTTTGATCAAACCTGCAGAAGCACATTTATAAACATGAAAATAGAACTTATGACAATCTTTAAATGGCTCAGTGTTAATAAATTATCACTCAATGAAAATAAGACTGAATTCCTATTGTTTGATTCTGTTGACCAACATGATGAAATAACCATTGATTGTAATGAGGTAACTTTCACAATCAAGGAGTGCAAAGAGACAAAATATCTTGGCCTCATTCTAGATAGTAAATTAAACTTCAAAAGCCATGTAGATTATATTATTAGGAAGGTCATGAAGAGAATTGGTGCCATGTATAGAAGTAAAGCACTGCTACCCATTAAATATAGGAAAATGTTTGCCAATGCACTCATGTTGCCACAATTCGATTATTTAGACACGATCTATTGTAGAGCTGGCAAGACAAAACTTGCTGAACTTGACACTCTGTACAAAAAGGTAGCCAAAATAGCTCTCAACGTTCCAAAAACAGAGAGCAGCCTTAATGTTTATAGAGACATGAAATGGTTACCACTCCATCTTAGACGACAACTCCATCTGTCAAATTATATGTTTAGAATCATCCATGACAATTGTCCTACAAACTTTATGAACAAATTTAGTTACATATCAGGAGGTAGTAGGAGCGGCGAAAGCTGCAACCTTTATGTCAATAGATCAACATCACATAAAAACTTTCAATACTTGGGGGCAAAATGTTGGAATAATGTTCCAACAGATCTACGAAATCTGCCCGATGTTAAAAGCTTTAGTGATTCGTATAAGAAACAGCTACTATCATCTATAACAACAGACCCTAATTATACCGTCGACAATTCATATGACAAATTTTACACTGCAATCATAGTCGACGATAACTAAGTTGTTTGTAGGTAATAAGCAATGAAACCCAGTAATCGTATAACCAAGCTGAAATGATCTATATCAATGTATAGTAAATAATACCTTTAGTCAATCTGAATAACTCACAATACTTCTATAAAGAGTAAAAGGGATAAACCCATAAACACTTGACGGAGAGAAAGTAACTCACCAAGAAAGCTCCGTCAAGGATCGTAAGCTCTAGTAGGTCTCTAGAGTCTGTCATATAAAACAACCATGCTTAAGGAAAACATGGGGTTACATAAAGATATATCCTAATATAGGAAATCTAGAGAAAAGGATATATGACAATATCCCGCCTAACAATATCCCGCCTAACAAAGTTAGAAAACTAGAAACGATTAAATCACCCAGAGGAAAGAACAAAGCATTCTTGCTTGATTAAAATATTAAAATGAGATACTCAATATCTCTCACTATAAACTCTAACAAATATAAAAGCATTATTAAAAGTACACTCTCATAATATTATAAAATAAGTAGAATAAAAACCCCGCAAATTATAAGTTCATCAAATATAATAAATAAATCTCAAGTAGTCACCAATGCCAATTAAAACACAGCATCTCTTACAATAAAATGTCTTTTACAATACAATACAAATTGTCCATGGCTAATTCAGTTTTGAAGATAGCAGGGTAGAAGAGTAGAGAGAATCATCCACCAGAAGCATACACAAGAAAACTTACAGTAGGAAAGAAAGGCAAGACACTTCAGCCATCATACACACCAGATGACTCACTTCAGATCATCGGGCACCTTAAACAAGCCCAACTGTCCAATAAGAAGGTTAACTCAAGTTTTTTCTGGGAAAGACAACACCCTCTCTACTCAACACGCCAACAGTCAAAACACCGGTTTAGAATTAGACCAGGCATAACCAGGAAGAATTAGTGTTGAATAGGATGAATATTCAGCTTCCCAGTCTGAATAACAGCCAGTAAATTTTCCACTGGATCTTTATTCTTTGGACTTTTGGTAAGACAGTCAGCTAGTTGCTGAGGATCAGGAATCCATACAACCTTGTTTATCTCCTCATCGTCTATAATCTTTCTGAGATATGCAACTTGTACTCTCATCTTTAAGTCAACAGATGGATTAGTAGAGTAGATGTTCTCTTTTACAGATAAATTGTCAGTTAAACCAATGATAGGAACAGTGTCTTTTGTCTTATTTTGAGATAGACATAGAGCGGTGATGATAGTCTCTCGTATCAGATAAGCTTCATCCAAACATTCACCAAGAGCCATGGCTTCTGCATAACTGATGGTCTTGGTAACTTTTTTGATCTTTCTTGAGCACCATGATAAAATTCCTGCACTGTCTCCACTAACGAGAAATATAGCGTGCCCGCGTGCACTTGATGTCCTACCAGGGAGCATATTAAGCGAAGCATCAGCATAAGCATAGATCTTTAATTGAGAGATGTCTTTAGACAAGGATGGAAGCATTATGGTTACCGTTTGCTTCTTTAATTTCTTGACAATAGCATTTAGATTTATTAAATCAGAAACTCTAGGCTTTGCTGCTTTCATACTGCTTTCGAGGACTTTGTAGCGTAGGTCA